GACATTAAATATTACTAAGCTATTATAATCTTTAGTTGTTACATATAAAAGAACTATTTTATAGATAACATCTTTAAAGGACAACAAACAATCACCTATGACTTCTATATGCATGAGTTTATTTTTCTTAATTAAAGATATTTCTTATTTTTTAACAAAGGCATTGTCTAAGAAGCAAGTTGAGTCTCTTGAATCTAAGAATGCAAAGACTTTGTGATTTTTCAATCCTAAATAAACTTCTATTGTAAAACAAGGTGAGGGATTTAAAGAAAGAATATGATCTTTATTAGGTATTATGCAAGATTCCAACTATATAGTCTTTATTATGACACATTGTCTCCTTTAACAACTATACTCTTCATTTTGTAATTATGTTGCTTCTTTGAACAATATTGAATAATGTGCTTAGGTTCTCCATAATATAAGCTTAATCCTTCTTCACAACATTAAGTCTTTTCTTACTTATTAAGATGTTTGAAATCTATTATATCAATTTGCATAGATTTTAGCTTTGATGAATAAACTTATGAAAACTTAAAAAATTTCACCATGACTTTACTTTTATCTCTCCAACCAAACCTTTGTTCTTGGCATCTTTCAAAGAATCAATTATCATATAAAATATCTTGAACAATAAATTATTTTAACGAGTCTACTTTTCGTATTGTCTATAATAAATCTTTGACATTGTCTTTTAATCCATATTGAAATTGATTAATAAGAGATTTATTATTTATATCCACATTGCAAATAAGATTTTGAAATTTTGTAGCATATATGGTCGTTAAATATGATCTTTGTCATAATCATAAGAATTTGATTTATGTTATCATCTTTCAATTACTTTTTCCAAATGTGGTCGTAAAAACTTCTATGAATGAAATTAGATTATAAAAAAGTCATAAATCATTTTTCATCAAAGGTATAATTAAAAATAAAAAAATACTTCTTGATAGAATTGTACCTATGAATCCAACTTGAGTAAATTTGTCATGATATTGGAAAGAATACAACATTAGATAGAACTTTGCTTATTATAGAAATCCTTGAAATTTTGATCTTACTCAATCAAATCTCCCTAAAATACTTTTCATTGCCTCTCTCATACTTGTAGAAACAAGACTTTTCAAATTTAATTGTAAACTTAATTTATTGGCTTCTTTCAATTGTATAACTTCTTGGCATAGAATCTAAACTTCATTATTGGCTTCTTCTATAGGCATAGGAATAGTACCTCTATAATTCATGTTAGAAATATGTAAGATTTTTTTCCTAAGAATACTAACCTATCAATCAATTACAAACACGTGTAAAGTCAAAGCCACACCTATGAAGCTTTTAGAATGCTTATCAATAAGATATTAAAAAAATTATATACTTTAATCTACTTCTACTTATTCATATTATCTAAATAAGTATTGAAGAAAATATATATGTTTTTGATATATGTACATACAAACATATTCTTTTATATATATTCTTTTTATTAGATATTTTATTATTAAAACTAAATCCACTTTATTTTTAAATTATAAGTATTTTTATTGTCATATACTATAGTTAAATTATTTTTATAATTACTATAATATTTTTACTTTAAATTTATTTTATATAAAAATATTAATATATATTAAATATTAATATATATTAAATATTACTATTAATATATTATATTTATATTTATATTTTTTCAATAAATACTTCAAAAAATTTAATTTATCTTCATATTTAATTTTTTATTTTAAAAGAATATGTAATTATATTCAACTTGTAATACCTTACTGTATAAGTACTAATTTTTTAATTAAAATTTACAAAAGTTGTTTGTAACAAATACTTATATTATTCATATTTATTAGAGTTAGATAACTAAGAAGATAAGTTAAAATAACTCTCATCTACTTATAATATGGAAAATTAAAAAAATATTAGAAGACACAATTTAAATTTAAATTATAGAATTTAGTTATATTAGGAATTTGAAAATCAATAAGACATATCTATATGGATATTAACTAGAAACTACAACTTGCTTACAAAGAAGGTAATCATCTAACCTTTCTTCTCTTCTCTTTTCCATCTATTTTTAAAACAAAATTTCCAAGAAGAGTTCTTTGTAGTCTGTAATGATCCTAAACAACTCAATAGTAGTAGGTTGGAACAAAGAGTAATCCTAACTCTAAAAAGATTAGTGGTTAAAATCTGAACTGTAAGATCTCAACAACACCTATCTAAAAGATGCTCAAGATTTACTATTGTAAGTGTCAAAAATAAATTAATAAATAAATAAAAACTTTAAAATACAAAATTAGTGGCATCAAAGCTTCCTTCACCTACTATTGTTTTTTTATTGATACACTTGTAATCTTGTAAAATTAATCCCTTTGTTTATTCTTATAGCTTGAAACCCACAATTAGCAAGTGTCAAAATGAAGAGAATAAATTGAACAATTCATCGCTACAAAATGCATGTGGCCCTATTTCTTTTAACAGTAGATTGGGCCTCTACAGTCATCACTTTTTTGAAACTTCATGATTGTTGTTGCAAGTCAAAAATCCAAAAGTGGTCAATGCATGATCTCCAGAGTGGGTTTTATTTTTACGAAAAGAATCAGTGATTATGTAGAAACAAATTGGCTGCCTGCAGGTCTGAGAATGAAAATTATATATATACATATATATATATATATATATATATATATATATATTCTCTCAATATATAACTCTCATCTCACACACTTTGCTCACAACATGCACTAAACATTTATTTTTCTTTTCTTTTCTTTTTTGACTCAATCTCCTCTTCTGAAGCCTTTTGCAGTAGAACCTCAAAAGAAGAGTTGGATTGCAGCACTTCAAAAAATGAGATTATATCAACTCCTCGTTGCCACTTCAACCTGGACACAGAAAACCCACTTTCAGGTTTGACAGAGGTAATTAAACCATAAGCTTCGCGTGCTGCACAATGAACGAACTATGTAGCAGTTTACTGGCGGAGTTGTAACCCCTTTGAGGCGTATTTTTCTCGCAATGTGGGGTCTATGCGAAGAAAGAGGCTCCTCCTCGTCCGTGCCCAATGGACTCCGTGTGACGATAATAATCTACTAACGTTAATAGGATTGAATTACGAATCGATCAGACTGCTGCAGCTTGACTCTTGTGCTTGTTGACGTTGTTGTGCCAAACGGCGTGAGAAGCCATTTCTTCGCATCATTTGTTGCGCTGGGTAGCGATGAGAGGATAGCGCAAACATGGCCCAGCGATGTATGGGGGCAGGTCAGATTCTCATAAAGCATTTTTCGTTCTTATCCCTTCTCCACTTCGTTGAGCTGAAAGGCGAACGTTGAAATAGTCAGTGTACCTGCTGGAGTTGCTGTTCATGGCAATTGGTCATAGTCGTTGTTTTTTAAACGAGTATATGTATGTATATATGATTTTTTTTTTCTTTCTTTCTTTCTAAGTTTTAATACGGTAGTGAAACTTTGTGTAGTAGAATTTGTCAACATCGGCACTGTGCCAATTGTAGAATAAAGAAAAAATGTTGATATAAGGGGGTAATGTGAGGTGGGTTTCGAGCGGAACTAGACAAGAAAGTGAAGCATCCATCTCTGTAAACATTAATAAAATACTTTAATTTCAATTTTTTATACCTATAATATATTTATTGGTATGATATAGAAACAAAATCTTGTTCTTTTGTCATGTTTTTAGCATTTAGTCTTAATTTAAAATCTTTTGTTTGGATTCAATCCACTTGCAAATAAAATTGTTCAACTTTCTTTGACAAATGTTTTGTCTAAATTCCACATTATGCTGTAAAGTAATGAACAAAAAAATATACACAATGAATGGATATCCAAATATTTGTATGTAGCTGTTACAAAAATGCAATGAATTTTAACTGCAAGTATCTTACAATACTTTCTAAAGTATATAAAACCTTTAAGTACCTTCTAGATATATTTGTCATATTTTATAAATCTCAACTCCTTCAGAATCTTCCAAGTTCTCTAAAAAATCTGTATCGATTTAAATGCTTTGATTTTATTAACAAAATTCAATGATTAGTTTTAAACTTCTTAAATATATTTTAATTGTTAACATTTAATTCCTATACAATGGTTAAAACTTCAATATTAAAGTGTTGAAAAATCTGGAATATAAAATCAAATATCAGATATCGACCTTTTTAACAGCAACCAAAATAAATATTAATTATAAAAATATATCTATTTGATATTAATAGAATTCAAACTGCAACAAAATCTGGGATCCTGACATACGTGTATGCACACATCAATAATCAACAACCTACCACAGCATCTTCAGAGTTGCCTTCTACATAACAATGGTCGCACATGACAATACTGCCACAACATTGCTCGACAACAAGAGCAATACCTACACAGGCAATTACAATCTTATAACACATCAATACCCCTACCCACATTCTGCACAATAGTCCAATTTCCTCCATCCAAATGCACAAACTGGTACCCTCACGGCCTGACGGAGGTGGAGAGATGTGGGAGTCATAAGGGAGATATGGGAGAGAGAAAAGAAAAAGAAATAGTCTTCAGCTCATCTTCCTACTCTAACGTCATCTATAAATTTTAAGCACTTCTAAGATTGGCATTCATACTCCTGCCAATTCTCATGGACTCAATTGCATGCAGAGCTCAGGTATCTGAACGCACGTATGTGCAAACCCTTTCCGAGTTAACTTCAAGTGGGTGATATCCTGCGGGAGGGCCAAAAGCACTTAAACTAACGCAAGCGAAATGTTGTACTTTCAGATGTGTGACAGGTTGATAAGCAGGGGAAGCCAATACAAAAACTGCTTGGACCCATCTCACAGGTTTCTCGCCAAAAGTATCGGTAGAGTGCCACTGTTGCGTGACATGAACGCAACTCAATGATCACTCCCTGCATTCCAAGGGGGTCGAACCCTTCCAACCACGACTCAACAAGGTGGATGGTGCTGCCCATCAACAGAAATGTTCCAGATGTCACATTATTGCAACATAGTACTATGTACAGTGCACAATGAAGTTCGGCAACTGGGACATTCAGCATTAGTCACTGTACATAATAAAGTGCAAAAAATCTGCAAGCCTCAATGACACCGAAGTGTAAAGACTGCCCTTACAACTATCTTCCCGGTGACAATGAGTACATTGACCATGCGTAATTTCCATAACTCTTCTTTTGAATATTTAACTCTATGGGTGCGCACACTTCTGCAAAATGTGCACAAATAGTGGGAGGCGACACTGTTAGCATTCAGAGCTCGAAGATGTTCCAGTTTCCAGATGCACCACGTGAAATATCCGTAAGATAGATTTGAGGCCCCAGTTTTCTTAGTCGAACCTGCCAAAAGAAGTCGTACACATGCCGCTCTCGACATACACTCAGGTTAATGAAACAGAGAGACACAAGGAGTGTACTGCTCAACATCTGCACGGACTGAGTAGCATAAACGTTCTCTGATTATGCATGATGTGATAGTCTATAAATAGGAACCGAGATGTTTTGATCTGTAGAGAAACCAATCAGGTCACAGAACAGAAGGAAGCTCTTAAGTATTGCAGCAACAGAAAGTTCCTGCAGACGCACTACAGATTTACAATATATATAGTGTTCCTCACAATACCATGACTTGTCAGATGCAATGATCGACTTCTTCAATGATTTGTAATTACTACAGAAATCTTAATATGGACAAGATTAAGGGTCTCCATCAAAGGTTCTGAACAGACGCTGAAATGAAAATTATTTCGAACCACCGGGACAATGCCTACCTTAAGCCTGTCATCAAAATTCTAAAAAAATATTAGCTACCCTTAGATGGTATCAGATCCCCCAGAAGGAACAGAAACGGTAAGTTGTATATGTGAAAATTGTGAACAATGTGATCACAGTAGTCTGTCGCATGACAGATGAGATCGGATTTCGTTTACATGTAAAATAGAAAGTCCTAATATTCATCATCCATCAGGATGTACGGAGAAAATGTCCAAAAAATATTGGAAATGAAAGGAAACTAGACTGTAGATCGCATAGTCGCACGTTTAAACATGCGAATGATTCGGCAGTATCCAGAAGAAAAAAAAGGGGTCAATAGAGTGCATCTGGAGTCCGTTAACAAAAATTCTACGAGACATGGAACCTGTAGAGAAAAATTGACTCAGTAGAAGATGACTGGCTGAAATGCCATGTTTCGACATACAATTACATAGGATACGTGTGTTTAATTGGGTTAGGAAACAGGTTTAAAGACAATAGAATAATTCAGAGATAAATAATTGCACCACATCTTCCAAAGTAATTCCGCAACACATTCAATTTCACAGTTAGAGTTGAGGGGCACTACCTTGAGGATGTAGACTTGCGGTGAGTAATCAGACTGTCCATGGATAACATGGAACCAAAAGGATGCATGAGTGTAAATTATTGGCTGGTGTGCTCTGAATGGACATTATCTTGAAAGGTAACCAACAGAGTTGAGTGCGAGTTGACGCTATCAGGTGGATCTCCATCATTTCATGTCCCAAGCGACGGCACTGTTGGTGTGGCATCCACCAGAAGCATGAGAGAGCACAACTCTCGTCGTATTCTAGTAGCACGGCGACTAAATCCCGAAGTAGATTTCTACCATATCGAGGTGAGTGGATGTCATTTGAACAGACCCAATTTCGTCAGACGCTGAAAGACCGCCATTCTCAATAGATTGCACACGCATGCTTCGAGATCTCCACCGACATGATTGAGAGCATCAATGAGATACACCAAAGCTCTCCCTGGTTCCACAAGCACGCTCGACAACCAGAACAAAAAAGACGATGTCGCATGCCATCCACGTCAACAATTCCCAGGCAGGTTACCAGTAGAGATGATACGCGACCGACACAACGCACGAGCAGGAGGAACAATCCTCCACACCACGCAACCACTTTCTTTTTATTAAGAGTGAGACCCACCCCGTAAGCGCACCCATGAGGGCAAGGTCTCGCGACACAACAATCCGCCTGGTGCCTCGGTTCAACCATAGCTAGACTGCGGCCGGCATCTCTGAGTAAAACCCCTTGATGATAAACAAATAATACATCGGTCCCGCTTAAATGTATTCGACGATGACGATAATCAGTAGAATGTCCGCGATTCGAAATTCCAAATCCGCTCGCTGCCTGCATCGCATTCAGATGTAAAAGTTGATCGAGATCAGGTTCCTCGCCAAGATAAACTCAGTGCTCAGTAAACATGATCAAAGTACAGTAACCTCAATTGAGATGCACCGCGATGGGAGCTAAAAATCAGAAACACAAAGCGCTCACCGTCTGCGAAAGGTGCGCATAATAATCCATTCTTCGTTCACATGCTCATAGCAAGAAACGAAGTTGCCCAGATGTAAAAGACGACGAACAACATCTTCACATCATACAAGAAACCAACCCGAACAGCTCCTTCGGGTCAAAACGCTGCTTGTACATCTGAATGCGATGCAGGCAGCGAGAAAGAATGGATAACACCAGCGGTTATCGCCAGCGTTCGAAGATGCCTTGAACTCCAAGGAGGCTGCTGCACGCAGGGTCAATGCCCGCGTGCACTCCTATCTCAAACATAGATGGCTGAGCCAACTCCAACGATGGCGATGCACCTCTGCAACATCCTTTACTGTCCATTCTACCGCTAGAAACATCTACAACATACATTGCAACAATAAAGCTCATCGAAGCAACGGCGCCAATTCAACATCGCACCCGCACTGTTTACATTGAACTACCTAAACTCAAATCACGTCAATAAATAACAACAATCGCTCTAATCATATCTTCCAATTGCCACCGATTTACCAAGAGAACCTAACGCGTGTTACTTGACAAAATCGCGAAATAATAATCTAACGAAGGGCAAGTGACAAGACCGAAGAAGGCACAGATTCTCATGTGGTGAAGCTGTGAGAAATAAACATCACTTCTAACCGACATGAGAGAGACACTCCTAATCTCGTGTTTTTCCATTAATAACCGTCGATTCGTTTCCCACGGTACGATGCAGTTCTCGTCCGTCATACGAATCTGTTGGCACGCGGTTTTGGGTGGTAGCTGGTGAGATGTGGAATGTTCGAGTGAATTGACAGCTGTATTTCAGCCGTACTTGTGTTGGATGATACCCGTAGATGATATTCGTGGATGACATGTGTGGATGACATGGGTGGATGATACTTGTGGATGATAGTTGTGGATGATACTTGTGGATGATACTTGTGGATGATACTTGTGGATGATACTTGTGGATGATACTTGTGGATGATACTTGTGGATGATACTTGTGGATGATACTTGTGGATGATACTTGTGGATGATACTTGTGGATGATACTTGTGGATGATATTTGTGGATGATACTTATGGATGATACTTGTGGATGATACTTATGGATGATACTTATGGATGATACTTGTGGATGATACTTATGGATGATACTTATGGATGATACTTATGGATGATACTTGTGGATGATACTTATGGATGATACTTATGGATGATACTTATGGATGATACTTTATGGATGATACTTATGGATGATACTTATGGATGATACTTATGGATGATATTTATGGATGATACTTATGGATGATGTTTTAGATGGGGCTATATAGAAAATGAATAAACTATTATTAACGTGAAATATCATTGACTTTTCCAGAACGTGAATATTATTGTCATTAATATGAAACACATATTAAAAGTATAAGCCAAATATATATATACATGTATATATGATTTTTTATTATATGTGTATGTATATTTTACATGTCAGTGTGTTTAAATATTTGTGTCCACTCATCCAACGGCATTCTATCTCTTATGTGCTCATCCATCACAAGTTTATTCGCAATTGTTACCCAATTTATGCCTCGTTTAAGTGTTTTAATATATGAGATAGATAGAGAGACTTAACGTCCAATGTTGATACTAAGAGCCACATTGCATAGGCTTGTAACTATGTTTGTGTATTGTCCACTTAGCAAGAGACATAAGGTGTTCTCTTATTTCAATTCTGTTGTTGGGATGCTTTCAAGGAACAAATTCATGTAACAGTTTTTTCCACCTCCTAAATTAGAACTTGGGACCCCTCCACTTAAACAAATTACCCCTAAAACAAATTAATGGATCCCAATACCAATAAATGTATTCACACATTTACATGGAAACTAATTTATATTGTACGAAATGCATAACTTTTCTTGAACATGTAATTAAAGAGTATTTTTTTTTAATAATATAATGTGTACCATATTGTGACAAATATTATAATGCACAACTCAATAATCTAAATATACATGTTTTAGCACTTTGCCATAATGATCAAATGAAGATGTTAGTACAATAAAAATAAAAACGAACAAATAAACAAAAATAAACATACACATACACATTTAATATAAATACATACAATATGTTTGCAAACATAGGCCAGATAGCCACTGTATTATTCCTTATATTTTGTTCATCACAAGCTGATGGGAATGTTACAAAGAAACCAATGTGACTTTTTCCATCAAAAATAGCAACTTATCATATATAGGTAGTTGCAATACATTGTATATATATATATATATATATATGTAAACATTCACATGAGAATTATTATGTTTTTATACACAGTATGATCACATTCTTCTATTGCCTAAATTTCCAACAAAACAATAGAATAATAAAATTTATTGCAGATTCAAAGTTTTTTAATGTGTTTCTTCAAAATCGACAAGGGCTTTTAATTTTAGTGTGTTCATCTTAAACAATCCTTTTAAGTTATTTCAAAACAATGTACATAGAAGGTATTTGTTTAATAATAATTATATAACAGAACTTGGATTTTAAAATGTGCTATATATACATAGATTTATATATTTATAGTGCTTTTTTAAAATAATACAATATTTCCAAGTATATTTTTTAATTTTATATTCAACAATTTAATGTTAATTAAATTCATTTTAATACATTACCATCACTATCAATTTTTAATTAGTTAAAAGACTGATGATATTATCAACGAGTTGATTCTTTGTTTTAAAAAAACATTTCATATATATATTTATATTTATATTTATTTGCTGTAATAAAGGATTGTTGGATTATTTACTTGCATATGGATGTATTTGTTGAAAATATTGAATGTATGGTGGATTTTCAATGCATTCTCTAATATGCTTGAACAAGCTTAAACTAAACACATGAGGAAAAATTAATGAGTTCTTACAAGTAAAAAAAATTTAAACATGTATATATGGTGCAGTAATACATCTACCTGTTCTTGTTAGAGAGTATAGGAATAAGTTTAGTACATATTTGTAAATTATTTAAAAGACACGTCATTGGTATTGAAGTACGAAATTTCAATATCTATATTCAAAGAAATTAAACCCGATTATGCATATAAAATGAAAGTTTGAAAAATTGTAATGACGGATGCTTGGATTTATTATTCTCTTCCAGAAGAGTGTAAAGTACCTTGACAATTATGTGAGGTCAATAATAAATAGGCCATATAAAAGTTTACTAGAATATGTGACATTCATCATTATTCAAATGTACTTTTCTCTCCACAAGGTTTCACAGTTTTAAAATGAAATGAATTCCCTCAAAAAACAAAAAAACAAAAAAATTAACAAATACAATAGTGTTACCACTTGCACGAGTGTTAAACTTCTTAGAAAATGCCTAAACCGAGTCACCAAATCACTTGCCAATGTCTGTAAAGCGCGTGCTGGGGAACAAGAAATGGAATGTTCTCGGTGCAGTTCTCCGAAGTTCCCATTGCCAAACACAGGGAACACAGAAAGCATCCACTCCAAGTCAACACAGAATTCATCCATAATGAGCACATCCATCCATTCGTGGCGCGGTTTGGAAGATTCCGTGGACGACGAACCGTTTAAAACGCCTGTCGTCTGGAAATGATAGTGTTTCTGACTCAGCAAAGCATCCCGGAATAGAAAAAACTGCCGTTGCTGAGACGACGCAAAGGTTTCGTCGACGAGGGCCGATTTTGCGTGGCGGGTTTGACGCGAGCGGCGGATTGTTTGGAAGCGAGGCACGCGGGCAGTGTGGCCTCTGAAGTATGTAAGCTGCTTCTCGTGCCATGGATATTCTCTCCGAGGTGCCTTCAGGGCGTCTCAGTTTCTTGTAGCCGTGGGGGTTTGAGCGATGGTGCTGGCTCAACTCTCGCAGCGTGCTCGAAGATTTTTAAGAAGCGGTTGTGTCCGGTTTTGCTTCGGCTTAACAACTGGCACGACGTGTTTCTCACTGTTAGGCTAGTGGATCTGGCCTTACCTGTGAACACGCAGTTAAGATGTGACGCTGTTTCGCATCGCTGAGCGCGGTTAGTTTTTTTTCTTCTCTACTTAAGCACACGGTTTGAAGTTGTCTCCTACAAACGCCTTAGTCTGTTGTCCGTTTGCTCTGGTGCTGTTTAGTTATGTATCGGTTCTCCTTGTTGTTTTAGTATGCCCTGTTACTTGTGTCCGTATCTAATGTTGTGTCTCCTTGTATTTTGTACTTCCAGGCTACGAACGAAACTTTTATTTCGAGTTTCGCTGTGTTTTCCCGTCCTTTTTTGACTTCGGCAAGGCGATTCGAACGCAGTTATTGTCTGGCTCTAGTTAAGCAGTGTTGTTGCATTGCAGAGAGGACATCGATTCCAAATGTTGTTGGCTTCACTGTGGCCATCGTGGAACTGAGTTCACAGGCAGATTTTTGTGTGGCTAGACCCTGCCCTTATGGGTGCGCTTACGGGGCGGGTCTCAGTTGAAATAAAAAAGTGATTGCGTGGTGTAGAGAGGATTTATTCTCTCGCTGGTCCGTCTAGTCGGTCGAATATCGTTCCAGTTGCTAACCTTTGTGGGATGTGTTGATCTGCATAGTATGCAACTTCGTCCCGTGTGTACTGGTTGTGGATGTGCCTGAACAATCGCCTCAGATAAGACTGGGATTAACGTAAAGGATGTATCTGCCATCGTGGACGTGATGCTCGGTCACGGGGTTCTGTCCACTCTGGGTGTGTCTGTGACGGAGGGTGCGCGATGAGAGTGTTTGCACTGTGAATCAACGCAGCGCTAATCCGTAAACGCAAATAAATTGAAGTGAATCTTGGAATTTGCTGGGGCACTGGAGAGGTTGTATTCGTAATCCTCTTGTGTGAAGTGTCGATGTATCTCTCCACAGTCCGATCGGGAAACACGAGTCGTTGTGAACCATGCCTCACATACTTAGAGGTGTTGCTCCACATTCTCTTCGACCAACCAAATTCAGAGTGGGAGGATTTTGCACACAGTCGCACAGAGGCGACCCCCTGATGAGTCACTTGCTTCGCGCCTATATCGACTTCTCTTCGTCTACCTTTGAGGTACTTGTACCTTCTCTCCAATTTGTGACACAAGGAGTGATGCGTTATGCTACGAATGGTTTTACTTGAGCCTGAGCTCTGCACCTCTTTTGTTCCATCTCTCTTTCACTCTTTCATCTTGACACCCTGTACTACCTAAAACTGTTAGTCAAGCCCCCTTCATTTTCTTACAGATTCTAAGATCATTTTAGCCGTAACCCTCTCTTTCTAGTGTGCCTCACTACCAAAGAAAAATTTACTTTTGAGAGATTTCTAGCAGTATCACTAGCAGAAGTATCTCTGCTGCTTTCTCAGAACACTAGTTTCCCAGGCTAGTCACAGTCAGTACTGGGCTCTCCAGTTAGAGTTACATTAGGATATCAGGGTTAAGATGCTTGCGCATGGCCCTACACAGTCTTACGTATCAACACGGATCCCGTGTACATTTTCACTTATTTTCACTTCGGTAGTATCATTCCATTTGAGTGGACGAATTACTTTTCATGTTGTCAAGGCACGAATTTGGACATGTGCATGTGATGTTTCATCGAGTATTTAGTAAGTTCTGATTGCGCACAGACTCGACGTCTGGAAAGTATGTCTGCAGAATAATAATAACTGCTGTTGATAGTGTTCAAGCTGAGAATCATGTGACTCTAGTCTTGTGCTACATATGAGACATAGTAAAGTCAGTCATGGTTGATCAAGTATGTGCAGTTTGTGCATCACAGCTTTTGCTGGATACCGCTCGCGGTGTCGCTGTGACGAGGAATTGAAGGAAACTGAAACACAGCGGAAGATATAACTTCGGATTGAAGGAGGTGAAGTGGTGGACTGGTGTAGGTCGCTAAGCTTGTGGACATGCCATGTAGCGTGTATATCTTACTGGAATGTTTTTCTATTAACGCTTATGTCGTACTTTGTTGTATGGAATTTAGTTCCGTGTGCTACTATTGCGCGCTCTGTCTTCTGTTTATTTATGACACTTCATTCTTTCATTGCGTTCCTGTAGTTAACGTCTCAGGTATGTTGTCATCTCTTACATTTTTTTAAAAAAAATCAGCATCGGCAGGCTTTGGTCAAGATTCACAAGAAGCACTTTGGTGAAGATACACCGAACTAACGTCGAGATTGTTTCAAGTGTCCTAGATCCTGAAGGGTTGTGACTGTTCACACGAAAGGCTTTTGCGATTTCTTATTGGATGAACTGATGACTAGCTGTTTCCGATTCTAGTAGCATCTTTCAAGGTTGCAGACCATGAAGTGCAGTCGCACAGCTTACATCTCTGTTGAAAGGCAGCAGTAATCACTTCAATCGTGACGTGATTGGAAGGGTTCAACTCCCTTGATGTGAGTTTTAATATTTTTATTTATTAAATTTTTCAACTTGCTCAATCGGTTGTGGTCGTTGCTTCCACTGCACATCCACATGTGTTCGCAGAAGTGTGTTCTGGTGCATAACAGTGTCTCTGCTGTCGACGTCCACACAGTCTGTCCTTTTTCTGACACCAAAGAGATCATTTGTGTGTGGTGCGTTATAAGAGAAGACGCTGGGGACGCATGCAGTAGGTGGATATTAAAATCGATTCTGTTACAGTTGAGTGAAAAAGTTGGTCAAAGCACCATCCTTTGACAAATCACTCCGAAGTGATTATCCTTCTGACCAGCTTTGCCAAGACTTTTTTGACTCTTCGTCCTTGACAGCTTCGTATTTGCAACTATCATCTTTGATGGCCCCTCTGCAATTTCCAACTCCTTGCTGCCTACTACAAGCCTCAGGGATGCGACCTAACAGCTCAAGTTTAAGGTCAGTGTAGACGGGGAGGTTAATGATGCAATCCTGACTTGAAAGTTATGAGAAAATACATGAGCACAAAATGCTTAATTATTTCATACATGAAGATTTAGCCAAAGTTGTTAATTTTATGCAGTTTATGAACTAAAACCAAATGCAATTTTTAGTATCAACTTGTAAGTTTCGATTATTGTTGAACATTTCGGTTACGGTTACTGAACGCAGAGAGTGCATTAGTACGTTTTATTTTTGTTGTCGATAAAATCTGTAAATTGTACTTTTGTCATTTGAGAACCAAGCACACATGCAGACAATATGTAGTATAATATTGAGGATGATCTGTAATGTAAAAATATTGTTTGTCATTACTTGCTTAATACTCTTTTAACTTTGAAATTAAGATGTAGAAAAGTACACTCGCATGTATCATGTGTATTATTCTGGCACCTATAACACACTTTTATTTTAATTTTATGAATATAAGGATAGGTTATATTGGTAATTTCTAGGCAGTCTTCAAGTTCAATATAGACGTGGATGTAGAATCTATTAATAATTTTAGTTATTTGTCAAATGACCCTAACGAACTTTGAATATTATAATTAAATACTATTGACGTTGACTTTGTCTTGAAGGGAACATGTTAAAACAATGATTGATGTACAGTAATGTATAACATCGTAATAAATTGCAATACAAATAGTGTAACTAACACGTTAACAAACATATTTTTGCTAACATCACACAAACACAAAAATGATGTACAAATTAATGTCATCTTGTGAAACACAATGAAAAACAATACTTTTATAATTTTAAAAAACTAAAAACACTTCGAAAAATACAGATTTTTTTTTAAAAGTATATTATTTTAAAAAGATAAATAATTAAGTATTACGCATCTTGTCTTAAGAAGCAAAATATTGCTTAATGTGTAGTAATGTAACAATTCTGTTTTTTAATTGTCTTTATAACATATGTAGGGTTCAAATTCACACTCACTAGGAGTATGCGTAGATCCTATTAATGTAAGACATGTCTCTACTAGTTGTATATTAATAAAAATAAGATACATATTCCCTCAAGGATACAAAAAAAAGTTTTAATTCCTGTGCATGCTAGAGTTGCACAAGAGAAAACCTTGTATTTTAAACTCATTAATTACTTGTTGGCATCCTAATTATCATATACTAGAAGGGAAAAGTAGATAGACAAATTCTTACATTTTAATAGAATGCCATATTTCAGAAATGTATGATTTATACTTAAGATCTCTAAGACTACCTAGTTTAATTGTTACATGAAGGTATTTACATGTTTTAATCTTTTTATGATTGATAAACATCATGGTGACAAATAGATAGACAAATGTGCTTAGCAATATAACAAAAAGAATACAAAATATTGCAATCAATTGATTAATTTAAAAAAAGGAATAAGACAAACATTTCAAAGATAAAATGCTTCACCAAAGATAGAATTAAAAAATAGATAATTTAATTATATCTCACAAATTAAATAACATTTTTTGTTGATAATTTTGGTTTTAAGCTAATATATACACATAAGTCAGTTTATTTGAAAAAATATTAATTTCAAAGAAATAAATGGCTTAAATAACATAATATATCTCTATAATATATTGTTCAATTTAAATTCTATTAAACATGCTTATTTTCAAGTATTGAACATGCTTTTATTTATATTATTACAAAAGTAGAAAAATGCACTAATTATTTATACATATCTAATTAAAATAAAACTCTATCAAGTTTTTGTAATCTTGTAATATTTTTCTATAAATTAGTACTTGTAACAAATATCTAATATATTTTTTGAATAATTAAAAATTTTAAAATCATGAATTTTTTTTACTTTTTTTGTTTTAAAATTAGACATTATTAATTACACGTAATATACTATAAGATAGCCAAAGTTCAAATAAATAGAGAATCAAAATGCAATCTCACATAAGAAGATAATAAAAACACATTGTTTTTACATTATTTCTATAATTTATCTGATTATTTCCATTTATATTTTCAATACATTAGTAACACTAATTTCCAGAATAGAATGCTTAAACAACCATTATACCTATTCTCTAAAAAATGAAGAGACAATAATATCATTATGAAAAACACCCAAAGAACATCTAATTATATCCCATAGAAAAAAATTCCATCCCAAATTTTCTTACATCCTTCTTTTTTCTCAAACCAAAACCTAATAAAAAATATATATTTAGTTACAAAAAACCCAACTCTTAAAGACTTCTCACTAAAGGCAAAAGAAAAATCAACCAATGGAGACACTCCACGTCGCACAACATGCACATTATTGGTCTCGCAACGAGATGTGTGTCGAAAGCGTCGACGTTCATTCATTCATCCATAGATTATAACATTCTTCCATCAAAATGATGAACTACATCCGTTATTACTGAAGTCCGTCCGTCTCAAGCATCGTTCGCTCGTTCGTTCGTCTTCGTTCATCTTCGTTCGTTCATTCCTCACCCTGGAAATGACAGAGCTGGAATTGGCTTGCTCTGCTGCTGCAAGCCATTTTGGTATTGCACTGCCTTAGCCCTTTGCTTTGCTTTGCCATAATTTTTTCTAGGGTTCGATCGAGGTGGGAGCGACGTGCGGAGCTCTCGGCTCCTCCCTTCTCTCTCTCTCTCTCTCTCGCTCTTGCTTCTATTGGATCGTCACCAGCTCCTCCATCTCGTCGTGATCGTCGGTAAGCGATATCATCTTGTACGCGTCGGTGTGTCGATTTCGGTATGAATTTTAGCGGAGATCAATTTTTTTGTGTCTCAGGCGGTGACGTTTTTGTTGGCCTTGGTTGGTTTGCGCTATTGGTGGTGGATTCTGAGCATGGCTTGCGGTGGTTCACGCCTTTTTTTTTTTTTTTTTTCAATTCTTCCTTGGGTGTCGATTGTGGAGTCTATCCTCGGTGATATTTCTCTTCTGGGAATATGTGCGTTGGAGGATTTCATGGACAAGGAACCATGGGATGATTGTGTTTGCGTGGCTTTATGATGTGCTGCGGAATTTCTGGTTTTTTCTGAATTTTGACCTCGTTGAAGTCTCTGAAGCTTTCTCCGCCTCGTGCAGGACGTAAATTTCACCTTTTTTTTTTTTTTTCTTGTTTTTTTCTTCTTCCTTCACTTTTATGTTGACGTGTTTTGAAAAAAATCGTAGCGTTGAATTTTTGTTCCGCCTGAGGGTTTTCAAGTTTTGTTTCTGGTGTCCTATGTGGCGTTACTGACTTTGGTTCTTTCTGAGAGAGATAAGCCGTGTTCTGTCTGCGGCGAGTATGAGAAAGAAAGCTGGATGATAGAGTTCATTTCTATATATGTATGTGTGTGTTTGCCTTTTTGTGGAATTTTGATCTTAGAGCTTGGAGAAAGTTTTCTAGAAATGAACAGAACAGTCGGAATTTTGTTACGCTTACTCTTCTGGCCTATCGCGACAAACACTTGAAGAGTTGTAGCTTGAATTTTTTTTTAAGAGTATAGTTGAAATTGTCATTACAAAATCAGGCCGCATTTGATATCTTTGGTGGGTGTGTGAAATTGTAGGTTACTTATTTGACATTCTCATGCACTGAATAATCATCGTAAACATTTGAAAGATGCAAACCAGTCCTCTTTTCTGCGATGAGTGTATCAATTTTATACAGTATTGCCTGCTGACGTATGTTTCCCTTTTCCCGTTTGACGTTTGGTTTTCACAAAATTTTCAGGATTTGTTTGGTCACAATTTGGCTCGACCTCAATGCAACGACAATAGAAATAATCACTGAGTCAGGTTCCTTGGGAGCGGTCTGAAAGTTCAATGCGCTAGCAAACAGCGGGACTTCAAATGGGCTGTATGTCAAGGGCTGAATGATCGGAACAACATTCTCTCTTTTTGTGGACATTGAATTCTTATTGCAAATAATACTCCAGACTGGTGGAGCTAGTGTTGGAAAGTCCTTTGTGTTCGTACAAAAAAGGAGGTCAACTAAGGATCACACAGGATGGGGGTGGTCATATCGAGATTGTGGTTTTACATGTTTCCGGCGAAAGAGTACAAAATAGTTGTTGTGGGATTGGACAACGCTGGGAAGACAACAACGCTCTACAAGCTGCATCTGGGCGAGGTGGTGGTCACACAGCCCACAGTAGGCAGTAACGTGGAAGAGCTTGTATACAAGAATATTCGTTTTGAGGTGTGGGATCTTGGGGGCCAAGAGCGGTTGCGAACATCTTGGGCCACTTATTACCGAGGTACCCATGCGGTGGTAATGGTGGTTGATAGTACAGACAGGGCGAGGATATCTATCATCAAAGATGAGCTCTTCAAGTTGTTGCAACATGAAGACCTTCAAGGCGCTGTCGTACTTGTGTTTGCAAACAAGCAGGATCTGAAAGATGCGATGAATCCAGCTGAAATAAGTGATGCGCTGTCTTTACACAGTATTAAGAATCACGACTGGCACATTCAAGCGTGTTGTGCATTGACAGGGGAGGGTCTCTGGGACGGTTTGGGGTGGGTTGCGCAGCACGTGACTGGATCCAAAATCACACCATAGAGGTATTGTAGATCGACTTATTTTCTCATTGTATTGTATCTCATTGGTATAAGCCTTCATTCTCATCTCGCTATTTTACAGGGTGAGAGATCTGTATTGAATCCCCTCATGGTGATGAATCGTAAGCTTGTTTCAAAGTGACAATTGATTCTTGCCAGCACTCTTGCAAGCAAACAAAACTACGTGTCACATAAGTTCGTTCACATCAGTCGATTCACGGGGCCTCATTCGGGCTTACAGACTGTTTTAATAGATTTGAAATTTGTAGGTTGAGTAATTGGTAATTGTTCTTTTCAACCACTTTGCAATACGTGTCTACTTTATCTTCGGCATGTGGCTATCATTCAAATGGCGCTCTAAATTAATTTTGTTCATGTTAATTGCGCTTCTGTTCCAGGAAATGTTCTTCAAAGTCTAGCGATTAGAGCATCTGAATGATAATGATTCGAAAAACCAGCTTAGCAGTTGCTTGTTGGGGCTTGAAGATAGTGCTGTGTTAGGCTTTTAACACCCCGAGTCATATCTTCCGATTTCAAAGACAGTTGGACATGAAATGTCGAAACTCATAACGATGTCGGGACTTTTAAGAAAGACTTTCATTTTGATGAGCGTAATTATAATGCACCATGTGGTTTGCAAATTGAAGTGAAGGTTTGTGGAATATTAGGATTTTTTGGGCAAATATCCAAGACTCTTCAACTAAGATGGTCTATTGCGAAGATGGGGAAGTCCTGACTTGCACAAAGTTTTAAATTGGCAACAATAAGAAGAGCTTTAGGTGAAAAAGAAACGGAAATCACTGTGTGCAACCTGAAATCTTTGTGGAACTTGGAATTCTCATGCAATGGATCATCTCTTTTAATAATACCCAACTTGTAGTTTCGAAGAGTCTTGTGGGCCACATCAATCAAGCCTCATTACCACACCATTATTTCATGTAGTCTTGCCTTTTTTGTGACCAAGAGCGAGCAAGTTGAGTAGGCTTTCTTCAATGGTATCATGCCTGTTGAGATCATTAAATGTAGCCGGTGCTCTCCATAATATTTATTGTAGACTACAGTAATTACCATAGCTACAGTATTTAGAGTCTAGTGGAGAAGTATTGTTTATCCTCTCTTCTTTTCTCTTCTTGTATACGAGATACAACCAGATGAAGAGATTTGTGTGTGTGAAGCTCTTTCTCTTTAGAAACCCTCTTATGTGTATGACTTACTACTACTCTTGTGTGTGTGTATGACTTACTATTACTCTTGTGTCTTTCTAAACATTCTCAACACGTTAATAGCACGACTCTCTTCTACACTATCACAATTTTTTTGCTCTAGTCTTTGACTCTTCAAACCTGTTGCTACCCTTTCTCAATGTCTGCCTCATGATCTTGTTCTTCTTACTGGCCCCTCATACATTAGCTTACTTAGAGCACTTGTTCCACTCTCTGCCGTGCTTGCTTAGAATATTTGATCCAGCCCAATTCCACCCCAACTTGCTCCCTATTGCGCCCCGCCCCTCCTGCCATCGAACTGTCACCAAACAATCGCCGAGCTGCTGCTGCCGCCGCCCCCCTAACGCCGCTGCCGCCGCTTGCTATTGACCGCCGCCGCCGTCGCCCACCACTGCTGTCCGCTGCTGCCACCTTATTGTCCTATTGCTGCCGCCCTACCGCTGCTTGTTACGCCATCTTATTGCTGTTTTGCTCCCTTAATCTATAATCTCTTTAAAATATATATATATATATATATATATATATATTTGTTTTTTTTTAAATTCAAGTTTATCATTTTATTTGATTTTATATTTTAAGGTACGTTTTACTCAACTTTTCTACTTGATCTTGTATTTTCTTTACAGATTTATTTATAATGAGTGTTTCAACATCTTCAATTGCTTCTTCTATGGTTCCAACTATTACCAATGCATCCCAACATTTTCAAGCTCTTTTATTTCCACCATTGATTATGGATGGAAACAATTATCTATTATGGGCAAAAATGGCACAAACAAATTTATTTCCAGAACAACTCTCGGATGCCATTAAGTTTGAAGAATCTCCTACAACAAGTATTTCTATACCTCCTGCTATTTGTTGGAAAGCACTCCTTCTTCGTCGTCATCTTGTACCTACATTACAACATCAATATTTGAAAATGGAAGATCTTGCAGAACTTTGGAAGAATCTTAAATTTAGATTTGATCATTAAAAGACCATTTTTCTTCCATGTACACGTCATAATTGGACACATTTACGTGTCTTAGATTTTCTAAATTTAAATGCTTTTAATAGTGAAATGTATAGTATTGTCTCACAATTACGATTATGTGGACAAAGCATTTTTGAAGAAGAAATGATTAAGAAAACTCTCTCTACATTTCCTCCTGTATCTGCTGTGCTTGCACAACAATACAAGAACATGAAATTTCAGAGTCATTCTGATTTCATGTCCTATCTAATTCTTGCGAAGAAGCAAAATGAGCTATTCTTGCGCAATGCGGAAGCTCATCCTATTGGAACTATAGTTCCAGAATCTCATGCACTTAATATTTCAAAGTCTAAGAAGAAATTATATAAACATGGGAAACATGCTCATAAGTATCAGGGTGGTCATAGTTAAGACCATTTCTACCCATATCGAAAGAATAAACGTTCTACTATTAATTATAGTAGAAAACAAAAATCAGAGATGCATTCTTGCCATAAGTGTGGAATGATTGGACATTTAGCACATATATGCCGTACTTCAGAATATTTTATTAAAATATTCCAAGAAAATAAGAAATTATGAGCTAAGGCTCGTGAAGTTCATACCATGGATGCGTCCATGGATTCAATTAGTGTTGATGACTTAGAGGCTTATATGAATGATAGAACCTCTAATGATGAATCAAATGATGCGCTCATTGATTCTGCAACAACACATACTATCTTGTAAGATAGACAATTTTTTATTCAAAAATCTTCAACTTGGCAAACTAAAAATATGATGACCATGGCTGGAGCAAATGCGTTTTGTTTCCAAGAGGGCACAGCCATGGTAAAATTATCAGTGGATTCCATCATAAAATGTAAACATGCGATGTTTGCACCCTCAGTACCTCGGAGTCTGATCAACTATCAAGATGTGCGTATTAATGGTTATCACCTCTCGACTGCCACTTTAAATAGAAAAGAGGTTTTGGTTCTTACGAAGAACCATAAAGTTGTTGAAAAAGCTTTTGCTATAGAAAATGGTTTATACCAAATTAAGATTCGGCCTCCCATTATATTTAATTTTGCATCATCTATCTTAGAGAGTCGTGTTTCTCTCTGGCATGGACGATTGGCACACCCAGAATCCACATTATTTAGAAAGATCATTCCATGTATAACTGAGCACAATTTAAAGCCTGCAGATGTAGACTCTATGGAATTATGTCGTGTATGCATACAAGATAAAATGATTATTCGGCCTTCAATTTGGAAACTTCCACAAGAATTATCACCAATGCGTGAAAGATTGCATGGTGATATTTGTCGTCCTATTAATCCAATATTAGGACCATTTCATTATTTTTTGGTCTTTGTTGATGCATCAAGTAAATAATCACATGTTTTATTATTATGAAGTCGAAACATGGTGTTTGCCAATCTTATATCTATGCTTATTCGCTTTCGAGCACATTTTCCTGATTATCCTATAAAAACATTGTGTATGGATAATGTAAAAGAATTTGCATCAAAGTCTTTTGAAGACTATTGTACTGCAACAAGAATCGAGTTGACATATTGTGTTCTATATGAACATGCTCAAAATGGATTTGCAGAGTCATTTATAAAGCGCATACAACTCATTACTCGGCCACTCCTCCTTCATGCAAATCTACCTGCATCTATGTGGGGTCATGCAGTTTTACATGCTGCAGCAATAATATGCCTTTGTCCTTCTTCTCTTGAACTTGTTTCACCACATGAGCTCGTTTCAAGTCGTGTTTCAAATATATCTCACTTACAAGTATTTGGTTGCCGTACTTGGATTCCAGTATCAAAACCTCAATGACATACCATTGGAGCTCTTCGACAAGAAGGCATATATGTTGGTTTTGATTCACCAAGCATTATTCATATTGTTGATCCATCAACTGGCACATTATTACGTGCACGTTTGCAAAATTACCGTTTTGAAGGAATTGTATTTCCATCTCTTCAAGAAAGAGTATCCAATCAACAAAAAAATAAAGTACTCATATTTAAAGCACCAAAAACGTTTACAATGAATCCCGATCCTAAGACATCTTTTGCAAAAATTGAAGTTGCTAAGATTTTGCATTTAAAACGGATTGCGGATGAAACACCTGATGGCTTCAATGATGCACCTAGAATTATAAGAGTTCCTATTAATGAGGCTCAGAATGTACCTGCTCAGATTGCAGTGCCATTGACTACAATACCTCAAGTTATAATAACAACAACTAAAAGAACTCGTGGACTAGATAAACAACTACGTAAGAAAAAAGCTATAAAATTAACTAATCCTGGTATTATTTTTCAAGAAATTGCCACTCATCTTGTAGGACTACCAATTCATGATGATATATCCATGCATAATGTACCTTCAATTCTTATGAAAAACAATCTTGGAATTGGAAGGAATAAGAAGAAGTTGAGTAAAGAATTATCTATTTTGTATTGTGCTACAGATGATATTTGGGACAGACCATCTATTATAGTAGATGAATCATTTGCATATATGATTATAAAAGCCTTTTCTTACAAGGAAGACGATCTTGAACCTCAAACCATCGAAGAGGCGATGCGTTGCTGAGATTGGTCAAAATAGAAAACTGCTATTGAGGAGTAGTATGCCTCTTTGCATAAGAAGAAAGTCTTTGGTCCAATTGTAGTCACTATTACATCTCGCCTTATGGAATATAAAATGGTATTAATATGCAAGTGAGATGCTTAAGGCCAAATAATCCACTTTAACACTCATCTTGTTGCTCAAGGATTTACTCAACGATTTGGCATTGATTATGAATCTACATATTCTCCAGTCATGGATTCAATTACATTTCGATATATTATTGGAATGACAGCTCATGCCACCCTTGAGATGCATCTGATGGATGTAGTAATTACATATCTATATGGTTCTCTTGATACAAATATTTATATGAAAGTTCCATTTGGCTTAGAAACAAGAACTCTAAATCAACCCGCTCTGAAAAAATATCGTGGTATTAAATTATGTAAGGCCTTGTATGGTTTAAAACAATCCGGACGAATGTGGTATCAACGTCTTTGAGATTATTTAATTACAAATAATTTTATAAGTGATCGACTAATCCCTTGTTTGTTTATCAAACGAGATAAAACTAGTTTTGTGATCATCGTTGTATATGTTGATGATCTTAACTTAGTAGGTACTACATCTGCATGTGTTACAGCTACAAACCTACTTATACGTGAATTTGAGATGAAAATGCTAGGAAAAATAACTTTCTGCATTGGTCTTCAGATTATGCATCTAACAGATGGTAACATTTTTTTCTACCAACTAATATATATTAGATGAAACTTGCAAAGATTTAATATGATTGATGCTTATTTATTGTCCACACCAATGTCATGGACATAATCATGTAAGTTAGTAATTATATATACAAATAGGTAGAAGTAAGTAAAAATAAGTAAAAGTAATTTAATTCTATAGTATTTAATATGGAAGCTTCTTAAAAGCTTTATAGATGCTGCTTTGACTTTATAGGTGTCTTTAATTGACTTTTTGGATTAGAAACGTGGTCAACAAGTTGGCCATGTGCCACACATGTTGTTAGCTTGAAGATCAAGCTAACTATGTGGCCCACACGTAGAAAAACTTGCCTTGTAAGTCAAGGCATGTGTCCTACAAAGTCAACACATATTAGAGGTCCTATAAAACGTCGCCACATAGCCTCTAATTAGATAGTATATATAGAGACAAGAGTGAAGGCTTCTTCACTCTTGTCAACTCCTTTGTTGCTTCTAGTCTAGTTTCAAGGGTCTCTAATTTTCTTGTCTTTTGGCAATAGCCATTCTAGTTTCTCTTTCAATATATATACTTGTTTATATATATTTTGTTATCTCTCTTTGACTGAAGGCTCACTTGTTTGAATTATTTTTTTATCGAGTTCTTGTCCTTGACAACCAATGGTTGGACATGGTCATGATGGTCATGATCCATACCGTCCATGCAAGGAGGAGGAAGAAATATTGGGAGACCAATATCCATACCACGCAGCGATTGGAGCACTTTTGTATTTAGCTACATCTGTAAGACCAAATATTGCATTTGCAGTTAGTGTTCTTGTAAGACATAGTGCACGTCCAACACTACGACATTGGAATGGCATCAAACATTTATTACATTATTTAAAAGGTACTGAAAACTTGGGATTATACTACTTACAATCAATAGATCCAAAATTGATTGGATATTATGATGCAGGATATAAATCTGATATTGCAACAGCTAAATCTCAAACAAAATATGTATTTTTAAGACATAGAGCTGTAATTTCATGGAAATCAGTGAAAAGAACAATAATTGCAACTTCATCCAACCATGCAAAAATTATTGCCTTACATGAAGCATCTCGAGAATGTATTTGATTGCAATCAATTGATAAATTCATTCAAACAACTTGTGGATTTTCATATGATGATTCTCCAACTATCTTGCATGAAGATAATAATACTTATATTGCAAAAATGTAAGTTGGTTTCATTAAAGGTGATAGGACAAAGTATATTGATCCAAAGTATTTTAGTTATGCTCATGACTTGATTACTGATCAAACACTTATAATTAAGAAAATTGAATCTACAAATAACCTTGTTGATCTCTTCACCAAAGCTCTCCCATTAAGCAACTATCCTCCACTTACTTATGGCATTGGTATGTGACGACTTGCTTTTCTTGAATAAGAAAGTTAATGAGCTCTTTAAATAATTAAAAAAAATGATGTTGTACTCTTTTTCCTTCATCTATAGTTTTGTCCTTAAATAAAATAAGGTTTTTCTAGATAAGGTTTTAATGAAGCAACAATTGTTGATCTTGCAAGATCACAGAAAAGTATAGATCATAATTCTATACAAATTTTATATTATGTAAATATTATGATGAGCGAGGAGTGTTGAGATCATTAAATGTAGGCGGTGCTCTCCATAATATTTATTGTAGACTACAATAATTACCATAGCTACAGTATTTAGAGTCTAGTAGAGAAGTATTGTTTATCTTCTCCTCTTTTCTCTTCTTGTATACACGAGACACAACCAGATGAAGAGATTTGTGTGTGTGAAGCTCTTTCTCCTTAGAAACCCTCTTGTGTGTATGACTTACTATTACTCTTGTGACTTTCTAAACATTCTCAACAGTGCCAAACCTATTAGGAGGTCTAATCGCAATAGTAATTGACAGTCCAAGTCAGAGTGAAAATCACATTTCACACATTAAAAATCTGTTGCAGTGAGGCGTGAAGGAAGAATTCAAGCATTGCACCAAATTTCCTCAAACCACACACCTAATTGAACGAATACTCTGCAAGTAGAGAGGGATCTTCCAGTGACAGCTTGGTAACAAAGGCGTGACCCGGAGGGAATTCGTAGCCAATGTTCAGTTCTGCCATCAATGCTTGAATATGTAATACCATATCACTTCGTCGTTGTGTCCTCTCTCCCGCATCCTGCACTTCAAAGCCAAGTCATTCGTGTAAATTCCTTGAGCGGATTGACACCACATTCTCATTCTGGCCAGGTTGAGAAGCAGATTATCACTGGCGAATCATCACTGAAACAGAAGAAATTTAATGAGAAAGTATGACTAGAGGACTGATTTTAATTTCCTGCCGCCTATGAGCATATAATTCATGTCTTTTCAGGAAAAGTAAGACTGTTTCCACTTCGAAGTAATTTTGTTGCCTCAGGAGGTTCAGTGGGCACACCTGGAAATTGATGTGATGTTGTGTAGTCATTAACAGCCTGAGTTTATTGGTGTTTTCAATGTCCCGCACAATGAGCCGCCATTGTGGATACCAGATCTGAGGAAGAGATTGGACGTACTTGTCAATTCGGTTCCTGAGAATGGATATTCTCTCGAGGGAAGTATTTGCTAGAATGTGGAATTCGACAGCATCCCACTGGTCTGGACTTCGATGAATATTTGCGATTGGCTTGTTGATCAGTATAAAATTAGGATATGTGACACTTTCACTGGAATTACTGCAATTGTTTTTATTAGTTAATATTCTTTGTAAAAAGTGTCTCCATGGTTTCATGTCAAGAGGTATACAGTAAGATAAGCTAAAGAAATCACAGCTCTAGCAACATGACTGTGAATAAAATGGTAATGTTCACTTTTTAAAAATGAATTCGGGACTGCATTATTCAATAGAGTAAGGAACTCTCAGATTAAGTGGCATACTAATAGATAACCAATGAAAACTTGGTGACACTCACTTGAGAAACGACGTCGTCATGATTTTCATTTCCTGCAATCAATGCCCAGTTTAGCTTGCAATAATCCATCACAGGTTTGCAATGTGTACTTAGCCCAGATTGTTCATTACATCCCTTGTGGCTGAAGCTAGTGAACAGAAGGGATTCATTGTTAAAACAACGAGATAAATTTCAAAAAACTCTGAAGAAAAAAAATCAGATTGTAAATTACCTCGACCATCAGGGGTACTCCTCCAATTAAAACCCGGTCGCCAACATCAAATGGATGCACGACGAATAAGAAAAGTAGCGACTCAAAAGTATTCCGGCATAGGTTGCCAAAAATTGAAACAGCTGGGGCTAAGAGTATGCTAGTACATGCCAGCAAAGCTTGGTTGTTGAAGCCCATAATAAGAAAGCTAATAGAAATAATTATAGCAATCAAAACCTGCACAACAATCCCACCTGTTTGTGTACATGATCCAAAGGCTTGTATTTTAAAACTTTTCTATCAGTAGCCCGAGTGATTCTGCAAGTAAGCAATTCTCCAAGGGTGAAAGTTCTCCTACCCCATCGAGAAGTAAGTTGACCTGGTAAATAACGCTGCGGTTGTCATTCAAGGTGAGCGACAAAGATTTCCGCTCCTTATACACATCCAGGACCCACTTGAATAGCGCTTGCTTTGTGATAGTACCATTCACAGTCACTTCAAATCTCGAGAATGCTTGCGTTGCTCTGTCTGCAGAAAAGAATTTCATGAAATTCTTGAGCACGATTTCCTGTTTGCCTGGCTCCGCAACATTTTTGAAAATCTGGCAATGCAAAAAATCACCACCTCTGCTTCAAAAACTAGATGCTACTCTTGAAATCAGCCTTCGAACAAAAAGTCTCATCAACTCTTCATGTAGGTTTATACAATATAAAGCACAATTGCGAATAAGAAACGAACATGTTTGGCACCAGCTGTGGCTGCAGGAATACTGTCTATCTCCCAATCCGGTTTCAACAAGGATGACCTTGAGTACATATACAAGTTTCGAGTGCGCACTACCTTCATCAACCTCATCAACGTCCACGCTGACACTGACTGAGCCCACCCCCATTCCAGATAACAGATGAATGTAAGTTCTTCACTCATTAAATCACTACAAAAACTTTCGTTGCATGATTGCCATAAGATCATGTAACATGCTGGGGAGAAGCGGAATGTGTGGTAGTCAATTCCTCCCGAAGAGTTGATCAATTCCCGACATTCGCAACCAGTCTCATCTCAACATCCATTCAATCTGACAAGTTCCACATTTGTAAAATCATGAAGAAAAAAATTCAGCCAATTTCCCACATGTGACTACTCACATCCTTGGTTAGAACTTGAATCTTGTCTTGAGCCAGTGATGCTTGTTGCTTGTGTCCCGTTTCATCTCCCAATTCAACCTCGGCCATCTCGAAGATCTGGACATTTACTGGTTTCGAAGTCTCTACTAGAGTGAGCGCTTCGGTTGGCTCTGGAATAGGAGCTTCACTGAGCACGGGAATAGTTACAGGGCCATTGACATCATGAGAGGAAATGGGAGGAGAAACACCAGAAGATGCGTCATCCACCGGCAAAGCTTGTTTTTCTTGCAGGTCCATCTCGGATTGAATGACATCTTGCTCCAATTCGACAAACTCATGTGTGTGCGCTTCATTCTCAAAGGTCACCTCACGTGGAACGACCTCTTTGTTGGGTGGAACGACCTGTTGTTCTGAATGAGTATCCTGCTCGAGTTGAATATTCTCTTCTACTAGTATCTCATGAGTTACTTCATCTGCCAAAGATATTAGTCATTATAAACTAGGATACAAATGCTCGTCTGGAGGAGCCATGCTAATCGAATCACCTGTAAAATTCAAGTCTCTTCCTGGACATTCCTCGCTTATCATGACTGAACAACATGCCGCATTTCAGCAACCTACTTCTGAATAATTCAACAGATTGATTCAATTGTGAATCATGTACATGAGGGTGAAGGATGTATAATGGACAGAAGACTGTACCCTCTCCCATGTCCTTTTCCTCAAGCGCAGCAAGGTGAACTGAAGATTCCACATCTTGAAGGTATTCTTCATCCTTGACCTCATGCTGCAGGTTGAATGTGCCGGGTGGGGTTTCAGTACGAGATACGCTGAGTGGTTTTTGGGTCTCGGCCGAGCTGGGTGAGGAAGAGAATGGAGGAAGGAAACTGGGGTAGGGGAAGATGGAAGGCATTGTTAACAAAATCTCGGGGATGGTCGGCACTTTCAAGGCCAAGGAGTCAGCAATTGAAGTAAGAGTGCGTGCAGTGTCTGAGTATGGTTGCCAAGCTGATTCTTGTGGACGGGTAAATCTTCTTTTTAAAGAGGATTCTGTTGGTGTTGGTGAGTATTGACGTTCAATACGCCCCTGTTTCTTTGCCTCCCTTCGTGCCAATTTGTTGTGGGAGTTGGCAGCCGTCCTGAGCTAATACATTGGAAACGCAATCAATCAGTAGCGCATATAGACGAAGAATCTAGGAGCCATTGCAGCAGAAGTTTCAAAATCTCGAAGCATTTCGAAAGCGGAAATTGATTTGGATGAAACAATACTTTAGGCACAGGGGCAGCCTCTCTCCTGTCGTCGCCGAACCCACCGTGTTTGCGAGCATATTTGTGACTCCGTGGTTGCGATAGAGTTTCTAACACGTATTCTTGGAAAATAGAGTCTTGGATCCTGTCAAAATATGCAGTCCGGTGGAAGGTGTTGGCTAAAATCTTCACAAGCAGAACCTTCGTTACCCAGAGAGTCGACGCTGTGAAAGAGCAAATGAGGAGCTGGCCGCATTATCCCTGGATTAGGATTAGTGCCGGATCTTGTCACTCTTACTCATTGTAAATGCATATAACACGCTAGAGAAAAGCCAAGACTCGGTAACATATAGGTTAGGTACCTTGGAGATAGTAGGAATTATGCCTGAGTTGTCTTCAATGTGTCGGGTCACGATGGTCCAGGCAAGAAGGATAAACCCCAACCAGATTGCATTCTTCACAGAACGGCGCAGACCGAAAATGAAGAAAAGAACGCGCTTCTTCAAGAGGAAGTTGTACTCGATCAATATCACCATCATCTACGCTGACAGTTGTGCCCACAATTCTCCAGTGAACGAAACTTTGAGATTGCGATCCCAGTCAAGAAAGCCATTAACCCCCATACAAGATTCTAATGAAATAGGCGAGGAGGTGGAATCATATTGTGGAAATACCTTAACGCCCCAACCGGAGAGGAGGCGTCCAGCCAAGGCAACGAAGCCGAGGGCTAGCCATTGCCAGAATTCGAAACTCCACCACTTGATCTGCACAAGCCGAGGAATGTGCGCAGCGCATATGAGGAGAACGCATGCTGTGATCAGAGCTAACCACTGCACGTTGTGTAATGTCCTGCTCTTGATCCTCTTCCACCTTTGGTACCGAGGTATCATCGAATCATTCAGAGGATCATGCTGCAAGCAAGTCACCACAATCGTCCTAGAATTTGAGATTCTTCACAACACGTCTCCATAGCTGTTGGGTTCTCAATTTCGTGAGCCGAGGAGATTTTGATGGCGGAACAAGGAAGGTACTCACCTCAATCTCAGCCATCACTTTCTTTGCAGCGCGCCCACCAAGAATGGATGTCAGGGATTGCTTGCGTGGACCCTCAGGGGCACAAAGTGCAGCAAAAGGAGTTGGTAACAGGTCTAATAGATTCTGAAGAACATCTTTCGTCGCCTTCGGTGGGTGTAGACTATTGGGCACCTCTTCCTCGAATCCTTTCTTTGGAACAAGTGAATAAGGACTGAGCACGGAAACTTCATCTGCAAATGCAGCCACCAGCGGGGGCCGATCTTGTAAACGCGACTTCACTCGGGAGTAAGTTGCCAGGGGAGTCCTCTCATAATGGATGCGATCGGGTTTCTTCTTCACTGGCGTGGCGGGCACCACGGGCTTGTTAAGTGGCTGAGATGAAGTTACTAGAGTAGGAAACTTAACTACAAGCAACTTCAGGGATGGCATCAACCCCTGGAAGTTTGCAAGTTTTCCAATAGCTATTTTTAAAATTTCAGGACGGAAGTCTAGAATTGATCGAGTGCGGGAAAAGAGACTGGAAGGTTGCGAAGGAGAGTCAGCAGCAGTCTCTGTTGCGGCGTCGGTCTTTCCAGCAAGTGACTCTGATGCTGTCGTCTCTGTTCCAATGATAGCACTGAATGTTGCTTTTGGTTTTCGAAGGTTCGCTCCTTCCTGCATGACAATAGGTTTTTGGAGTTCTGCCTCTTTCTGCATGGCGATGCTATTAGATTGACTTGCGGCACTCTCTGAAACATCAATCTCATCCCGGTTATCCCTTCCCTCAAGATTTGTAGTCTTGGTTCTGTGGGATGGTTCCTTCTCAACGATGTCGAGCTTTTCTTGAGATGGGTAATCAATCGAACTTTTAGGAGCTTGTTCTCTTGGAAATTCCGGCTCCGGAATGTCTCTTCTCAACGGCTTAGCTCGAGGGTATTCTTCCGGAGGATCGTCAGTGTGCGAAACCCAGTACAGATCCCAGTTCTGTGGATCCACATGTGATGCTTCTCCTCGTGATGTGCCGGAATGTTCATGACTCCCTGTCGTGTCGTGTAAGATGTCTTTTTTGAACTTGTGTACGAATTTCAATACATTATGTCGAATGCGCCCCATTCTCGTTGAGAAATAAATGTCGCAACCAAGATGAAGTGAAAAACTGGTAAACCTAAACAAACACTTCCATTTCCTTTCTTTCCATTCTGGGCAGCTAAGAGCAGAGTAAAATTGCATGAACGAGGTGATTTAGGTCAACAAAAAGATAGCTGCGTAATCCAAATGTTTTCAAGCCATGATGCACAACAAAAGGAAAATGCCAGCGCCGGGTCGTATTTCTTTGAGAACGGCTATTTGTAAAACATTGAGGATCCTTGCGTCATCTTGCCGCATGATCGTGCTCCTGCCTACGTTTCCAGATCAATAATTCAAGTGCCATTCCCAGCAACAATTTCACATCCAAGTCCAGCCGAGTATTGTCACCAAACCCGGTGGAAAGTGGTCCGGTCACACTTGCGCAACTTTTGTACTCATCCTCAAACATGTGCTCTGCGGATTTCACGAGAGGGAAACACTGCCAGTCGTGCCAATATGTACAAGAAACCAAAGTTGGGTAACCCAGGGTGAAGTAAAAACTGAACAAATCATGCAACGTCGGGTTTTATGTCGCAGTGCCTCAATTGCAGAACCCAGAGTGATTGCGGAGCAGCAATTTGAAAAGTGGGAGTTCCATCGAAGGAAACACCTCAACAGCCGAAATTGCGTCGAATGAGCATCTCAGATTCTTTCGCAAACCGCAGAGGTCTCCGTTGGTTAAATGGCAGAACAATTGCTATTCGTCTGTCATTACAGTTGTCTTTAACAAATTAATACCAAAGGTGGGTACCAAACATCCGTGGGAGCTGCATCACCTAATGTGAGTGCAGCATCTCATACTGAAGATGAAAAACAACACCAGTTCTACTCAGGAGAAGTTGAAGACGCTGCATCTGAAGACGTCGTCAGGCTAACTTCCGGTATCCACAGTCACCAGGAACGTACTAAACCAACCCTAAATCTATGTAGTTAACGATTGTTTTTATGGAGTACAAGACACTAGTCCAGTCACGTTAGATATTCATTGCGACTGCCCCTCCATCTGTGTATCCAAAAAAACAATATACGGATATCATGGGTACACGGTACACTTGAATCTCATCAGACTAGAGTAATGAACTCATCAGAAGCAACCCATGAGCTTATGTTTGAAGATGAGTTTGGTGCTCATCTTCAAACATGTGCTCTGCGGACTTTTTCATAAACCGAGTGATTGCTTTGGTGGCGTAGAGCTTGATTTGGATCCAGATCACGATGCAAAATACATGACGGTTGCTGCGGATGCAAGAAAGAACATGGAGTGCTGCAATTTGTTTGGTATGGCAATGGTACTAAGAAGAATAAAAAGAATGCTTAGAAAACCGTTTAGCAGTGGAACACAGGTCCCGAAGTAAGAGCCATTTCGGCGAGTATCCATTTATTATTCTACAGAAAACCCGCATAGCAACAAACTGCCGAGAGAGTATGAGATGGCATTTCCATTTTCTTTCTTTCCTCCACCAAAATTTTGAACCTGTTGGTAACTGGCAAGAGAATTCACTTATGAGCGGGGCATCAAACACTCGATTTACATTTCAAGCAACAATATCATGAGATACACAAATCATGACATCGAACTGATGAGATTTGCCGTTGCGAATATCATGATGGGCAAAGATTGGTTCAAGAGATGTAGACTGAGCCTAATCAAAATTTGAAATTGCAATTTTATCCCATGTGAGGATTCATCACAGTACTCTGAATAAGTAAAAGGAAAACTTGTCCATAATAACAGCTAGCGTGGATTTTTTCACCTGCAACATTCACCAGCACGTTTAGAAAGATCAGTTGTCTGAAATTTTCCGCTAATCACTTCTTGAAATCTCGCACTACGACACAAGATTTTCAACTTGCTGACAATATGTCCACACATTAATGAAGCACGACTGCCTTGCGGATCTGAGCAACGGAAGAGGCATGGGAGCGAAGACAAAATCCACCGTCTCCACAAAGGAAAGACGGAAAAGACGCCTGCCTCTGCGGTGTGTCAGTGCGTACTCATGTACCCACCTGGAAGCCCCGCCATGCAAGACACAGGGCGTAGTTTCTCAGCAAATTTAATGAGTAAGTGTTTACTTGTGCAACAATGTCACTGGTGCATAACAGAACCACGCGATGTGGAGAATGCTCAAACGCTCTCTAGAACAAGTAAATGCTCCTCAAAAACCTCAAAAACTTTAGTTAACGAACTTGAGGGTAAGAAGAGCACTTATTGTGTCAGGATGTTGATTAATAAGGACATTTGCGCTCCATGAGCAACAACAACAACCCTGACGTCATGTGCTCATATTATCTCATGTTCATGAGATTCAACTGCGTGAATTCAACAGTCATTGCGTTGTTCAAGAAACCGGTGCTTGAATTGCATCCCATTGTTTAAAAGAATTCTTCACGCACACAAGTTTGCACCTAAAAAACGGTACGCGATTGTTCTCATTGCCTTATCAACGTGCTAAGTAAGTCCAAGAGTCTCAAAAAAAATTCAACATCACCATGACCAAAGGAAAAAAAGAAAAAGAAAAAGAAAAAGAAAACTAGCTCTATCACGGTGAAGATTAACAACCCTAAGCTGCTAAAACACGAGATTAGCATCTCGAAAACCACTCAGTCCCGGGCGTTCTCGCAACCGCGGGGTGCACACCGCACAGTTAATAAACCAGCCATGTTCAGGACTCCATCACCCCACATTATAAACAAAAACCCACAAGCGAAATTCCAAGCATAAGTGCAGCGTGTCGGTGAATATAAGACCGCAACACATTGATGCCGCAGATGCGAAGCAGATTGAGTGGACTCAGCCTGGCCTCGATTGTCCAACACCGTACATAAATTAGGCTTTTTTCCTACTCCCTGGTCAGTAATATGACAACCCATAGATCGACGAAGTGTGCAAAAATTCATGCAAATCTGACCGCCCTTTGAACGATTCGTAGCAAGCTGGCGAAGTGCGGACACTCACGTCGAAGCTCTAGCAAACGGATGAACAGATATACATTCCATTGGTGCCGGCAATGAAAGATCATTCGTTCGTGGATGAAGGATGACTGTGGAAGAGAGCGCGTTGTGAGAACGCTCAGGTGAGTCGTTCGCAATGGGACGTTCCCATGGCTGACGTGGACTCTGAGGTCTGAACCCTAATTTGCTCTTCTTGCAATAAATTGATAGTTGTTGTTATTTGAGGTTTTATTGAACTAAAATTTTAAAATAGGTCTCCTACTGTAATTCGATTATTTTAGATTTTCTTTTAAAATATGTCAAGAAATTGTACGTAAAAAAATTGAAACAAGGTGAAATGGAAACCGTTCAAAGTCCTATAAAACTAGAGTGTGTAACTGTCTTTTACTTTTTACTTTTTGCCTTTTTATTTTAATAATATGGGGATTTAAAATAAATAAATAAACAAACAAACAAACAAATAAATAAAAAATGGTATAGAATGGTTAGATCTCGTCTTATTAGAAGCATGTATTAAAGCTAAAATTCACATGAATGAAAATGTCAAGAAAAGCACATATTTATTACAATAAATTTTAAGAAGATGGGTATAGAATTTATGATGTTTTATTCAAAATTAGTTTTACCAATCAAGTTCTAAGTTCATTAAGTATGTAATATTTGTATCCAAAGTGATTAACAGATAATAAAATCACAGAACACATACAGTATTAAAGACCTCTAGATCAATCTTAAATCTTTGTATCTTGAAATTCAAATTCAAATTCAAATTCAATTTCAAACTAAAATTTCTGAAATTTAAGACATAAAAAAACCTGTACATTCATAACCTTGATTTTAATGTTTGAAATATTTACATCACATATTCAATCATTTGCATATTTACTTAGGTATTGTGGTTATAGTACAAATATATATATATATATATATATATATATATATATATTATAATTAATTTACCAAAAACCTTGTGATTGAATTCTTGTTTATCCATTGTGATTGAAAGAAAATCACAATTTTTTTAAAATTTAATTAGGAAAAGAAGAAATGAAAACATTGTATTGATTCAAACTCAACTCTCTGCCAAGGTGCCAACTGTTTCAAAATTAACTGTATTGCCATGTACACTATTTTTTAAAAATCCAAGTTTAAGAATTTGATATCCAGAAGTAATTTCTGTTTTTATTATTCTCTAGTACCAGGCCAATCCATCTTAATGGAATGAAAATGAATGAAGATCTAGACCATAATTTCAACGGCTCATTAACTTTACCATTTCTTGGGCTTTAAGAACTTAATATCCATACAGTTAAATATTTATATACATACATATATTTACATACATATATAAAAATGGATAGATGTCGAAAAGATGATTTCAAACAAAAAAAATTTAAAGGTTGGGACATTACCAAGATATTATCAACATGGTCATCCAATCTTTTATGTGTTGATTTATACACACACACACACACATTTTATTCCAGCCCTGATTTTGTTGAAAGTTAATCAAAACAAAGTCATTCTCATTACAATACTGATTTGTTAGCAGAGTGGTCTAATAGTACAGATCATATTAATTAACTCAGATTTTATGAGAGGCATTGAAAGACATTACTAGATAAGACAAGGTAATAATGATATGAACCTAGTATTGAATTAACACTAATAACTTAGCACAGTGAAATTAAGCAATGGATGAATGTCTCACATTAATCACAACTTGAATAGCGTGAAAAAAACTGTATGCATATATATATATATATATATATATATATACTATTATTGAAGTATGTGTTATAATTTGAAATTGAAATTCTTTTGAAATAATGCAAATATAGTAATAATAATAATAATAATAATAATAAGAATAATCATTTCACACAATGTTTAGGTCTTTCTTAAAGAATATTTTGTTTAGTAGGAAGTTAGTAGACAACTAAAAAGTTTTGGAGTTGTTTAATAGTATTAAAAAACAACGATAATTTACATTTGTGTATTGCAACCAGAAGATAAGACCAATTTTTGATATGCTATTACGCAAGTTTTGTCAAGTATATGAAAAAAGACAAATTAATTTGGAAAGGTCAAAGTTTAAAAATAAGTTTATTTACAACTTTGGAAACTCAAGTTGTGTAGTAAAAGATAGCCACTAATTCATTTTTTTGTTTTACTTATGATTTTCTTAGATATATATATATATATATGTATATATATAGAATGTAGTTTTAATGTTAAACTTATTGTTGTGTCCTGAAAATGCAAGGTTAGAAGGACAACCTAAACACACTTCATTTTAATATTAATAAAATGTTTTATTTCAAGTTAAAATTGTATTACTTATTTTTCAAGTACATTTTATCCACACATCAAAACAAACACAATCATTCTAATTAACAAAAAGCCTTAATAATTTTGATGGAAAAAAGAAAAATTTGTGGGTCTTAGATTAGCTATGTAATCCGTAAAATATGCATTACAAGCTCTATGAATATATGCAATCTCTGTATGTATGTATATATATATATATATATATACATATATATGGCATCCTTGATTTCAAACCACAATTCGTTCAATGCTTTCTTTGATAATTCCATCAACCTGGTGTTGACCTTGAGAGATGGCAATAATTTTTACGAAGACATGGTGCTTGAATGATGAAAATGACCCACATCATTTGTTGAAAATAAATACTATATTATACAAGATGCATAATATTTTTGAAATAATTTTAGATATGATGTGGACTAATCATTGATTTAAAAAAATGACATTCACATGCATTATACATTGCAATTAATTTGATATCAATATATCAGTTTTTTCCATGTTCTAGTTCTTTAAATTGACCATTATACTAAAATCGATTTTCTTTCTTTAATGAGTAAACCCTTTATTAAACGATATAATCTACAAATCAAAATTCGAAAAAGATTCGAACAAGTAGATTACAACCTACATTCGACCAAATCACACTACATATAACTTGTGTTAATCACACATTAAACGGTCAAATAAGTTCCCTCAAAGCTCAAAACTTCAAGTCTGCAACATATAATTCATGCCAAAGTATGCAAGTAAACTCCAACCTAAGTTCATCAATCCAACATTTATCCACACGTAAAGTGCACCACACCATCCTGTCCGCCCGTAAACAGAGGCATCCGATCCTCCGTCGCCATCGTCGTCGTCGTCCTCTTCTTCGTCATCAACACCAACTGAAGTCAGAAGCTTGGACCGCACGCTCTTATCAGCGTTTGACCAGAGTTTTGGTTGGCCATATGGCGTGTCGACGAAGAACCAGGCTGGCACGAAAGCGACGTGAGTGAACGGAACCGTGGTCACGATCCGCCGTCCGTTCCGCCGGTGAAAGCCCTCAACTTCTTCGTCTGCTTCTGACCGTCACGTTCACACGGACGAGAACGACGGGCCCAATCAATTGGACTTGGACGGACGTTCGCGTTCCGTCAGTGGGTTGACTGTCCATTGAGGAGCTTCCATTTGCTTCTTCACTTGTTTGTTTGTTTGTTTGTTTGTAGAGTTGGTGTGAGCTGCAGAGTGTGTGACAGTCCCAGCTGCTGATAGCTTAGCAAAGACTTGATGATGTGTATATAATAATAATAATAGTAATATGAAACAGTCTTCAATGGTCCTGTTAAGATTAAAAAATCATAATAATAATAGAATAATAAAAACTTGGACTTGGATTACGATACTGAAAAACTCATACTGAATTGATGATGGATTATTGTACAACTCTTGTATGATGTGTCATTTGGCTGTGGTATTCAAGACATAGTAAAAGACATGATGTGAAAATATTGAAAACATCATATTATTGCACATTCTTAAACTGTATTATTGATTCAGTGAAGGTTATATTGTTATAAAATGAAATAGTGGTATGAACTAGCTTGTCACTCTTTTAGTCATATTGTTGTGAAATGTTGATAATTCTAAAACTTGTACAGTAGTTTTTAGTGGAATCAATTTATGTATAAAAATTCTTTATGAAAATCTATTTCTATAACTAATGGAATACAAGTTCATTAAAAATCCCTGCAAGTATTATGGATCCAAATCATACATACATTTAAAAAAATTGATATGTTATTAAAATCCAAAATATATAACCATGTAATTTTATCACAACAAATGAACTTTAACTGTACTGTTTATGTTGCATTTTCAGTGGTTCTTAATATCTTTCAGTCCAAAGTTGATTTTGACACTGCAATCAAATATTAATTTGATCACAAATACAATTATTAAATTTAGGTGAAAGTATTTTATCAAATTTCAGTGGTTATGTTTGGCACAAGATCATCAAGATAAAACCTCTAATTTACTGATATTCTTCAAAAAACCTGCAACACATGCATTAAACATTTGTAAGCTAAATAATGGTTGAGTCATCAAACTCCAGGATTCCTCTATTCAACTGTGTATAACAACAAAAGTTGTGCATATTCCCATAAACTCATATTAAATGACAAATTGGTTTATTTCATGCAAGCTTTCTGTTATCCTACCTAATATAACAATCTTAAATATCTAAAACAATACTTATTGCATATGTATACATGCATACACATTCGGCTTGTATTGATTTTTTGCAAGTTCACCATCAGCAACAACAACCCTCCTGAGTTTCAAACCCTACCAATTCCAATTTCACATCCAAATTTCATTTTCTAAAAGCTCCCTTTGACAGAGAAGAAAAGGGCTGGCTCCACCACCCCACCACACAACTCCCATGGACTCTTGACCTTGAAGCTTCCCCACGTACAAACATTGACCAAAGTGTGACCCAATGTGACTTATTGTCTCATATTATTATTATTATCATTTATTTGGGGGGGGGATAGAGCGGGCAGCTGAGAAAAGTTTTTTTTGTCTACGGGCCAAGGGATACCACCCATGTTGGTTACAATCAGTGTGTACAACAACAACAATACCTTTGATGTGAGAGCATTTCTAGAAAGATGGCAGTTTAGTGGCATGCAGCAAATCAGTTCCCAAACAAAAAATGAACCTAAAGGTGGACTGTGCATCCCTTCTCCTCCTCATCATGCAACTGTGCCCAGGAATGAGCTCCTTGGGAACCATTGATGGCCTCTACGTTTGACCACCATGAGGGGCCTGTCTCTGCTGCCTGATTGGGCTCACTTGCTCTCTCAAAGGGGCAGCAAGTGCTAAATTTTGTGCCTAAAGACAAAGCTCCAATAATGGGGCAAATTCTCTTCCACTATCATTCCAGCTTTACAACTACCACCCCCCTTCCTTTTCCTTCCTTGTGACCAAGCTCTGTTGCTTTGACCACCCCTATTGCTGCCAAAAGACAAAAGAAATTATACCCATATAATTATTTTTTGCTTTACTTGTCCCAGTATGTGTGATATTTATATGGTCATGGTAAACGGATCTTATCAAAGCCTCCATCAAGGCAGTCTTCTAAGTGGAATTCACATTAAGTGTGATGAGAGCTTGATGGGGTGGGTTTACCTCTCACCTCATGTATATAACAAAGAATGAAGGGCTTTGTTATGAGAGACAATCAACAAGGAGACAAAATTAATGAAAATAAAAATTCTTTTTTGAGTCAAAGTTTTTTTTTCCACTTTGTGTATCATAGCCCTGAAGAGATGCCTGCAGACCAAAACAAATTGACCAGAATTCACAAAAAATATAACTATTTCTATGCCTCAATAATAACACATATCATTACCTGTGTGTGTGAGTACATTTACTACTATTCTGGTCTCCTCACGCTTTAACTTTAACTTTTCCTTCATGTCTTTTTTGCTTTCGTTAAACCGTTTCCTTTTGAATTTTGCGTCATGTAGAGTTCCTTATTTTCTTCCCTTTGCAGTATAAAAAAATTAGGGTTACGGAGAAACCGATGCAGGCCCGTTGCGAAAAACGGGATCAGTGACGGGTGTGGTTCAATCAGGGGGCGGTGATTCAATGAACAAGCATGAGCTTCATTACGAAGGAAATGGTATCGTCGTCGTCGAAGTCGTCATTGGATTCAAAATGCAGGGAAGAATTTTAGGTTTCGGGCCTCGGCGACGGACTGCACACTTGTTGGTTTACAGGATCTATCATTAATGGGAGAGGAGCTAATGGCGTCTCAGGGGGGAGCTGGATTTGGACGTTGTGGGTCATTGAAATTGAGCCGAGACGAATGAATCTCGGGTTTTATGATTTCGTAATCGAGTTCATAATGATCGTGGCGCAGTGTCCAGACAGCCCCGCTGCGATTGACGCCGAACTAGGAATATGAAATTTACGAAAACAATCTGCAACGGAAGCAATTGCTGAATGAGATGTCAGAGGCAGGGGATTGAAGCGAACTGGATTTTGGTGAAAGTGGAGGAGAAGGAGGAGGAAGAGGAGGCGCTGCAGAGCGACAATCAAGAGGATCTGTGTCTGACAGGACGCCAGACGGCACGCTCGCAGTAGCTCTGCACAGAGGCCGACAGACAGACAGACAGACAGACAGACAGTGAGACAGGAAGTCGAGGAGGAATGTGAGAAGGATCGCAAGAGGAAGAGTCAGTCAACAGACAACGCGAGACCGGGCCCAAAAGAATAAAACACAAAAAAAAGGAGCAAAAAAGAGAAAATAAAAAACAGACACGAAAAAAATATAAAAAATAAACATTTAAAAAAAAAAAATCCTCCTGGAAGATTGTGAGAGTTACTTGTTGCGTGAAATCCTGCGGCCCTGAGTCTGATTCGGCATCACCCAGCTGTCCGGATTCAGAATTCGCTGTTCGACTCGCTTCCTTGAGACCGATCATTGGCTCTTGCATGGATGCTACTGCTACTACTTCTACTTGAGCTTGTGCAGCTCCGAACGCGGAAGAATTTCGTGTAGTACCGGAGAGAGAATGCCAGCCGGAGGTTGTGGAGGCAACGGTTTGTATTGAAGACGTGATGGAGTGTTTTTCGGGGTTGGATTGAAGGTGGAAGCTGTTTGTGGTGGGAGTGTTCTGTGGAGACGAGGAGCAGTTCGAACCGTCTGCGGAGCTTGCGGTGTTTTCGTTCTGAGATGGTTTAGGGTGGGAATGCTGCCGCGACTGCGCTTCTATGATATCCGGATTAGCCGCTGTATGTTAGCGCACCAGTTTGGGGATGAAGAGGTGATTTTGTTTCTGTGGAAGTTTTGAAAAGAGTGGTGATATTGAGCAGGGTTGTTGTAGAGGGAGTTGGTATTGTGGCGTTTTTGCGGAGTAAAATCGATTTGCTGAAGTAGTTGCAGGGGTTTTAAAGAGCTTCCGAATCCCAGTGGATGTGATTTTTTTGGTTGTTCTTTTGGGGAATCGAAAGAGTGGCGGGATGCGAAATCAGAAGCAGAACGCGAGGTTGCAACAGGCGAAAGGACAGCTTTTCATATGTGGCATATTTGGAAATTGCGCCAGCTCGGTGTTGAGTCCGCGCACTCCTCCCGGCAGTGCTGATCACGGCCAGAAAACAGCGTTCGTGTGGGCGGCGAATGATTGCAATGTGCCGCAGAAGCAGCAAGGTGGAGATGTATACCGCCGATGCGAAAGGTCAGAAGTTGACATCCCGCTATCCGGTTTCGTCCCCGGCTCCCCGTCTGCCAGTGAAGGTGACAATGCGTCCTCTTCGGCTTCCGATCGGACGTCGGACCAATGCTCTGTTCACGCCAGGTCCTCCATCGCTTCAGATGCTTCTGACTTGAGGGGTTCGGATTTGGAGGAGCTGTTGGCTGAGATCAAAGTTGGGAATTGCTCAAAAATGACGATCAGTAGCTTAAACAACGTGCTGGGTAAGAATTGCCAGTCCTCGAGGGATCTCATTCGATCGTCAGGTGTTATTTCTTCTCTCATCGCTCTGCTTGTGTCGAGCAATTTGGCTGAGACGGAAGGCACCGGCGGTGCTCGTGTTTTGGGTGACGACAACCACGCCCCATCCTTGCTCGAGGAGTCACTCGCTGCTCTGTCTGTGTTGTCTGAGGAGGAATCCACGACGCAGCAGATGACTACTCCCGAGTTTTTAACGGTTGTGATGTGGCATATCCGTAAGGGGAGAAAGCTTGCAAGGGAGAACGCGTGCGTGATCCTGGAGAGGCTTTCCTTGAAGGAGGGGTTTAAGGAGACGATGGGCGCCAGCCCGGGCGTGTTGGAGGGGCTCAACAGCATCTTGCTGCACGAGAAGCACCTCAAGCTCGTGAAATTGGCCACAAGAACATTGCTAGCATTGTGCTTGCTACGAGAGAACAGACTCCGGTGAGCAATCCTAACTATTCCTGTCGAATTTCCATAGGGTAGTGCATCACGAGTCCATTCCACTCTCACTTTCGCCAATTCCACTTCAAAATTGCACTTAATTTACCGCGTTCGTCATGTTTCCCTGCAACAGAGCGGCCGAGGCAGGCGCGGTGGCATCCATCCTGGAGATGCTTCCTCTGGCGAGATCCGCTGTGGCGGAGAAAGCGCTCGCAACGCTAGAGCTTCTGAGCACCACGGAGGAAGGAAAAGCGGCCATAATCGACCACGCTCTCGCCGTGCCCGTGCTCGTCGAGCTCATCCTCAAGGTCTCCGACCGAGGGACGGAGTACGCCGCCGGAACGCTGAGTGCCATTTGCAGCGACAACCTCGCCATGCAAGAGGCCGCCGTTGAGCACGGCGCCCCAACCAAACTGCTGCTGCTCATCCAAAGCGACTGCACGGCTCGTGCGAAGAGAAAAGCCAACCAGCTCCTCAAGGTGCTGCACAAGCTCTGGATGCAAAATCCCTGTAACCCAGACTCTGGTGTCACCAAAGCCATCCACTACTGAGTTTCTCGTACATAAATTAATCCCTTCCCCTCCTCCCCCTTGCGATTCTTAGGATCTGTGTACCATATGTAATGTTCTGAATCTGCAATGCCAGGCTTGAATCGACGCCCACCGCGTGCAGTTTTGATCGTTTACTGCGCACCCCAACTCCACATTCTCGAACTAGGAAACCGTTCGTGGCAGTCATCGGAGTCTCGCTATATTTGCGACTAGCGTCGCTCCGTTGTGCCCCTTGAATCTTACCCACTGCCAGTGGCACCGCAACATTTGCAAATCCCCATGAAAATGATTTGTCGGTGAGGTTCGTATTCATAATAAGCTTTTCCATGTTTCGTCGCCGAACGAAGGTTCGGCCGACACCGCCCGGCGCGCTTTATGTTGATGCTTGTCGGTGTGAGCCGCGGCATCGGTAATGGTGTTGGATTTCAAATTTATTATTTTCATTTACTTTCCCATTCCTAGTATGCGTGCAATCTTTTTGATTGTGTGAACTGCTTTGTTGAGATCCAATTTCCTGAAAATTTAACAATAATGTATTGAAATATTCAGATTACATAACCTAATTTAAGTTTATTAATTTCAACTTTAAAGCCTCATCTTCTCTGTGATATTAACGAATGGGATTTTGGAACATTTTAGTAATTGTGTAAGAACGAGTGATGTTTTATGTAGTTACGAAATTTTATTATAATGTTAAATATATGTTGTTGGATTTTTTTTCTATTGCTCGATCTGTACTTCATAATTTCTATGATTAACTATATTTGTTATAGAATGATTTAAATGGCCATCGTTGAACAAGTTACATCGCTGGCGTTTCATTAATTTTTTTTGGTACTATCTATCCTTGAATTTCATAAATCAGTTCGACATTTGTGTACACATTTGTTAGATTCTAAAATCAAAATAATGCAATCAAGTAATGAACAGAAGATTAAGAAAATAAATAAATAAATAAATAAATAATTTCCTCTAAATAGTTTTGCAAATACTGCTTCAACCAATTATTGCAATATTTTTGGTATACATTGTACATAATGACAAAAATAGTAAAATATATTCTTTTACCAATATCAAAATGATTGACATAAAAGAGAATTGGTGTTCATCATCATAAAAATCTTTTAATAAATATAAACATGTTTATGTATAGTTGATCTTTCACTTAATAAAGATGTATGGTTGCTTTCTAAAGCACATGGTATTGTTTGGAGTGTAACATATCTTCTATTAAAAAACATATCAGACTTGAGTAGTTCTTGTTGTGTCAGTAGTCTATCAAAGAATAGTTGCCTTTGACACAAGACATGGTAGACATAATACAACCAATATTGCCACCAAATAGATAAAGATGGAAAAAATAAAAACCAATTAAATTCATGCTTGATGAAACAACTTATTTGAGTTAACTTCCAACAATACTTTTAACATAGATTTAGTCATCACAATTCTAATGAAGAACTTGTACATGTCTATGAGTATTGAGTAAATGCATTATCATATGTTGTTTTCAATTAGGTCTAGAGAGATTGGACAAAATTCACAAAATCAATAATTAATATATTGATTAGGTCCATAAGAAGACATGGAAGAATTAAGGATACACCTCAAGAGTTGCTCTCATGACTAAATAGTATTACTACAATGCCATTTAAACTAACAAAGTATAGAATAATAATGTTATATAAGATAATTACTTTATCTTCTTTATTAAAAGAGGCTTTCATATGTTGGCTACCATGTTGATGATATGATATATAAAAGATAAGGACTTGTATTGGCAAAGAATTGTTCAAAGATAGAGTCTTCTATAATATACATGTCATAAGAAAGATGATTCAATTCAAGGTTCCAATTAACATCAATATGACTTTGCAAATCATCCATTAACTTTGAAAGGCAACAATACTACCATTCAATAATGCTTGCATTAGCATAGAATGTGATGAACATTGTCTACACAACATTAAAATAGAATGTAATTTTATAAACAACAATCACTAAAAATTTGATAAATATGTAACATACTATTTTTTAAAAAAATACAAAGAAACTTATTAGTAGTTTATCAACAATCACTTAGATTTTGCACAATGGTTGAGAAATTCTTGATAATACAACCAACCAATTATTTGTGCCAAAGTTGTTAAAAAATTAAAACTACGTAAGTTTATGATGTCCATAATGGCTTGTTTTACAATAAGGTTAAGTTGATGCATTGGGCAACAAATGTAATACAACATGTTGGATATTGCTACAACTTCAATTCTTGTAAAAATTCTTTAGTATATCTAGTAATATTTGGTGCTCTATTGCTTAATTACCCAATTATTTTATCTCTCTAATTGAAGTACATTACATCAAGAAGCTTCACCATAAAATTGAATAATGATTTGTCATTATGTAATTCATTGAAGAAAATAATATCTAAAAAGTGAAACAAAACAAGTTTATTGTTGTCTAATACAAGTAAGAAACAAATATAAGTGTTCAGAAGAGAGTATCCAAAATCATCAACAGAAACATCAATGGTAATTAAAATTTTCCAACATTCATTTGTGATATTAAAGAAAAACTGCAATGATGCTGTACAAATTATGTAAGATGCATTTAAAACTTATTTTGGACCAAGTTCTTCTATTGGTAGCATTGCTGAGACAATAACAATTCTCTTTGATTATAGAAAAAAAATCTTCTAAAAAATGGGCCACATGCTAAAAAAGAAGTGACATAGTCAAATTTAATTATATTCTTGATAATTACATTGTAGAAAATAACGGTTTGGACATTGTTGTTTTGCACTTTGTGAACAAAAACAAACAATTTTATTGCAATATTTTTAAAAATTATATTTTTGTCACTAAACAATATGTCTTGAATAATTACTTTTACAATTAATTTCAAGGTTGTTAAACAATGTCTTCTATTGTTAACAACACTATGTCATTTAAAATAAGCATTTATTATACTTTGTAAAAGTAATCTTTAGAAAACATTAAAAGATTCTTCTATTTGCTGTTGAGTAATATTGTACTCTTAAAACTTCATAAGGTGTTGCTTGTCCATGTGCTTGCAAAAGTTATCTAAGCAAAATGACTTTGGCTAGTGTTGTGAATTTATTTATTTTCTTTTTTCTTAGCACTTGGTTTCTATCAACTCTTCTGCTTTTTTAACCAAATGATTTATGAAATGGCAAATGCACAATCCTACAATCGAAGAGACATCATTTTGAAAGGTGACTTGAAAGCTAAACAACTCTAAATAATTTTTTTGATAATGAAAGATGAGTTTAGGACCCATTGATCACGATTCTTCTTTTTTTGCACAAAATATTCAAAAAATGCATGTACAACTACTAAACACAGCTTTTGCACTAATTTTAAGTTAAAAAATATTTTGTTAATGTATAAACTATTATTATTTTTTTCATATTAAGTAAATTATCATTTATTAAGAGAGTTATTTATTTATTTATTTATATATTATTATTATTATTTCTTATTTCTACAAATTTTAAATATATAGATTTATTTTGTTATCTTGTATACTAAGCATAATATAATAAAATGATACAACATCAAAATAACTAAAAAAAATGTATATAATTAAATATGATTTTGATAAATTAAAATACATTATAATAATAAATAGATACTGGAAGTAAATAAAGCTTTAAATTATGTATTGTGAAAAAAATATAATTAACTCTAGCCATTATATTCTATTATATTTAATCTTATAGTCTGTATCTTATAAGATGAAATATTATTTTGTCAAAATATTACAATACTTTGATAATGGTAGAAAAAATATTTGTATTAATAAAGTGTTGTAATATTTTTAATGGAAGAAAAAAATATATTAATTTTTTTCTATTTATTAATACATTGTCTTTTTGTGATGCCATAAAGACTCTATATACAATCAAATAAGAAAAGACAATTAAAAAAATTAATATATTTTTTTATAAAGAATCATACATGAAAATTGACTTTTCTTCTAGCAAATTAATCTAATGTTGGTTGTAAATAGATGTTTAAGAATATAAGAGATATAATGGATGTAGTAGTAAGGCACAAAACAAGATTAGTTCTCAAAAGATATTTACAAGTAGTTGGTATAGATTTTAATGAGACATATACCCTTGTTATTAAACCATTATTGCAATCAGAGTATCAAAAAATTTAAAAATATACCAAATAAAAGTAAAGACAACCTTCTTAAATAGAAAATTAAAAGAAAAAACTTATATGAATTAGTTTTAAGGATTTGTACAAAAGGCCAAAAAATACTTTATATATAAGTTAAGAATTTATGTACGGATTAAAAAAAATATATACTATGAGCATGGTATCAATGCAATGACTTATTCTTTGTTAGTGAAGGTTCTTCAAAGAAGTACTTTGATTATTTCTTATGTGTATAGATTTTATTTTATTTTTTATTATTTTATTTTTTTATTATTTGTAATCCTCTATACTATTGATTTAATCATTTTGGCCAAAAAAAAAAAAAAGAAGATTACTTGAAGACTATTTTAAAACAAATTGAGATGAATAATATGTAAGATGTATACTATTGCTTTGGAACTTAATTTATAAGAGATTATATCAATTTAACCATCTCAATGAGCTAAAGCAAGAATATTAAAGATGTACTAAAATAATTCAATATGAATAAGTATAAATTAATTTGAACACCTCGTGAAACAATCTTAAAGTTGATAAAACTTACAAATGAAGAGTTTTTATAAATTAAAGTTGAAATATAATATATTTCATAAAAAAAATAATAAACTTATTTATGTATAGAATGTATTATAAATATATATATATATATATATATATTCTAATAATTATATAAATAATATAGATACATAGAAATAAATAAAAATAGATAAATTTGATAATATCTTGTAGAAGTTTTTTTTAAAAGCTTCATAGATGTAATTTCACCTTTACACATGTCTACAAGTGATTAATAGGTTAAATACTTGGTCAATAAGTTAAACATATGTTGTACATGGCTATAGCTTGTTGTACAAGTTAACCACATGCGATACATATAAAAAACTTGCCTTGTAAGTTAAAACATATGTTTTGCAAATTAGACATGTATTGGAGGTCCTGTAGAATGTCACTACTTAGCTTTTAGTTAGATATTATATAGAGGTAAGAGTAAAACCTTCTTCATTCTTATCAACTCCTTTCTTGCTTCTAGTCTAATTTCAAGTGTCTCTAATATTCTAGTCTTTAGCAATAGCCATTCTAGTTTCTTCTTCAATATACATACTTTCTTCTTTTTGTTTTGTCATCTCTTTTTGATACATATTTCACTTGTTTATATATCTTCTTTGAATTCTTATCCTCAATACAATGGTGGCTATAAAAATAGAACTTATATTTTTTGTAAGTATTATAGATTAATACATATATAAATTTATACTTTTATATTAAATAATAATTAGAAAAATTATAAAATATTTAATAGATACAATAGACTTTAAATTACACCTTGGTAATAAAGATATTGATTTGCAACATTATGTGATGTTAATTAGACTAGAGATGCAAATAGTAATAAATTAAAAATAGGAAGTATATTCTTTATTGGAATAGAAGTCATTTTATGAAATTTCAAGAAACAACCAACCAATGCACATAGAAGCAAGCTATTGTGCAATTTGAATAAATAAATTCTTGAAAGATAATGGACTTGCATAATCTGAAGAAACTTTTGTTATATGTAATTATTAAAAATGTCTTCTTTTTACCAAAAATCTAAAGCACCATCCAAAAACTAAATATTTTGATGTATAATATCATTTCATAAGAAATAAGATTAAAGATGGAATAATAAGAAGTATTGTATTGTATAAAAGATGTTTGCTTATGTATTTACAAAGGTAATAATAAAAGATAGATACGTCATATCAATAAAGGAATTAAGATTAAAAACATATAATCCATAGTAAAGTGGAAGAGTTAAAGATCAATAAATCTTTTTGAAATTATTACTATTTATAGAATCACAAGCATCGAATATCCTCTGTAAACAAAATGGTTCACTGGGTGAATGAATGCTCCTTGTTTCTGGTGTTGTTTGTTAGTTTAAGGTGACGGGATTGTGATGAGCTTCCAAGTAGTGTTGAAAATGACCACCTTCTCTTTAGAGGTGAGGTGTAATCTGTGTGAATGATGTCAAGACCTCAGCCTTTGTGGTATCTGTGTAGAGAATGCAACAAGCGTAAAGCACGCTCTAATTAGGCCTCTACCTGTAATGGAATTTTAAAGGTAAATCAGCGGTTATGGTTTGAGAGGTGTGCACAAGAGAAGTAGTGACGAACCGAGTTGCGAACTAAAAACTTCAAAATGAAGTTTGTGAATTACCTTTTTCGACGTGTGTGAATGTAGTCGACGTCATTGTAGCAGTAAGGAGCGCGTTTGAAGCCCATGTCTTTGTGACGAGAATCTCAGGGAACTGTCTTTTATCGCTTGACGCTGTATCAAGGATGGCAACGTCACATGTTAGCAAATTTTTGGGGAGTAATATGGGTCCTATTAGGGGCTGGCATTTCCAGCTAGGATAGTCTCTCATCTAACAACATAAATAAGAGCGAGTATACTCTTAGTTTCAAGCTAAGGCAGCTGACTATATCTGGCGATCTTAGCCCAGGATGATGACGATCTTCACCATATTATTGTAAGTTTGATCAGTCAATCTTAGGAATAAGTCGTGTAAGAATGCCCATCCACTGACCAGACTAAGACTTATCTAGTTCATTATGCATGGAGATTGACTGATTTAGGTTTGTGCCTTTGTGTCAGCATTTCAGAAAGAGGTTAGAAGTTCGTCACTATGACTAATATTCCTGATCAGTTGGCATTTACTCAATGCGATGAAGAGTACGGATGCATTTTCAAGCAGCGACTCGATATGGTTGTAATATTGATATCCTTAAATCCAGATTTTCAAATTCTGGCTGCTGAGTTGTGTTAGTCTCGAAAGGTAGTTCATCGAGTTTAACAAATGCATCGACTTAGCTTACTTGCTGCATCACCTTCAGGACTGTTTCTTGGCAGAAAACCATGATGGTTGATAGCCTGCGTAAAACTTTCATGAACCGAGTTGCTAAAGCTTCCAGAAACGTCGAAAATTGCATGCAGAAAGTGCTGCTGATGTCCGCAACGTAGACTTTAACTTCGCCTTTCTTGCCCTGCAGAAGAGCTTCGCGTCCAGCAACATACTCACACGTCATCCAGGGGTCGTCTCCTACTCAGACAATTGTCCATCACAAGACATACACATAAATCTGAACAGGTCGCTCCCACAATAAGCAGTCGATTGATTGGCATTGTGATAAGTGCATACTACCTGAAAAAAAAGAATCATGTTGCGAATGGATTCAAGACTGTGCTTCAATGCTGGCGAACTTGAATAAGGTTGTTTGGATGAAGCTTGGGGCAAGTCCTGTGCTGGCGACTCCCTTAGGCGTCTCTCTTGATCGTTCTCTTTCAACATACACAAGGTGACATGATTCTATATGCTCTTGCCGACGTTGAGAAGTCCAACTTCGCCCAAGATTGCACAGGATCTGCAGGGTTGTGTACGATTACTGTGATTGCGTGAATTAGACAGGAGATGCCGTCTGTGTACGATTACAGTGATGGCGCAAGAGAAACTTCCTCTCTTCTCAAAGGCGGCATTTTCCTCTTCGAATGTCTATCTCCTGTATACGCTTAATCTAAAAATCATATTTCCCTACTTTGTCGGTATCGACCTAACGAGGCAATGAAGATGTGGAGTTAGCGTGAGCTATTATAATCGAAAATGGGGCTACGTTTGCAGAAATGCCTGGGGTCATGCGGACAACTCAGCCACCATCGATGCAACGCATCATCGAAATTAGCCATCCAGATCGGAATGCAAAATTAAAAGATTGATTCAAGCGACATGCTTCGTAAAAGAATATAGACAAACAGACGAAGACAACTTCCCACACTCTATGATAGTGAGCGCAACGTTAGCTTCGCTAGTGCTGTAACACAATGCGCTGCTGCATGTCCCAAACTTCACAACTGCGCATCATCGATGTAGGCGCTCAATGAAAAGGTTCGCATTCTAATAATCCAAGTCTTTTGTACGGACTCAGCACCAGTGGTGCTCAGACGTTTTAGAAGACAAGAAAACAGGAGGTAGTGCTCTAGTCGCTTGACGCAGTCACCGCTCTTAGAGGAGAATTCTAGACTCCGCAAAATGAGATTGCAAGAGGCAGATAACCAAGGTCGAGGCGAATATACCCCCTCATGGTGATGGTTAGATGATAACCACAGCCCAACGTATGGTTCCTGAAGTGAGTTGTTAAATCGTTTTGGAGTCGTCTCTCATGGTTCTACATTGCTTCTCAGTTACTTACAACTTCCGCCGCCTTAAGCTTCTGTGCGATGAAAATGCAAAAGCACTGGAGCTCCTACGCAGAAATTATGTTGCGCGCTACCTTACTGACGTTTCAACAAGTCCCCTTACTAATGCGTCGACTTGCTGCACGCAACATCGGGACCATTTGGTGAACGGATCTGAACTCTTAGTTGAAAAGCAGCCGCGGTTTACGAACAACCAGCTTATCTGGTGCACACAACACACTATAACACCATCAAAGATTGACCAAATCCTGGTGCGAGAAGACCAATAAGAGTGAATGCAAACCCGCAAAGCCAACATCGGAGCGGAGTTTTTTGCCACCAGCATCTGAAGAGAATTCCGTGCTGTTAGTAGGTAGCTGCAGCATCAGCGGCTTCGGTAACGCTTGCTCATCAAAGAAACCACGCTACTTCTACTTGGGGCGCTACATCGGAACCCTCAGTGCCCAAGACTGCACGCACCCAACAATTAACACCAAGACGTCACATGATAACATGAATCCGCGTAGAGGAATTGTCTACCCAGTAGAATACAAGCCTTCAAGGAACCCTGAAACTTCATTGTAAAGAGTAAACAGAGGCATATTGCTGGAGTCCGGTCCTCAGTCCCATCAAGCAACCAATAACCAACATACATATTTGTTGAAGAGGTCTGGTGTTGGAAAAGCGGTCTATCTTCCCGAAGCTGCTCCTGTTGACTAGCGAGTGAGAGGAAGCTAGACACGCAATGATCGGCATCGCAGAGTCCAGCGCTCAGCCCTCGTTTACGTGTGATCATCGTGTAGAATTGAACCCGGTAGGTTGAGAAGCGCTCTGTTGGATGGATCCAGAGCCTGTAGAAGTCCTTGGGATTGCGGCCAGGCGTAGGAGGCAGCGTGGTCAGTGCTTGGGGTCAGGTGAAGCTCCAAGTGGGTGACGAATTCGACAAGGCGCATACGAACACTAGGTAACGACAGGATCGATCCTCGCCCTCGTTGATTTCCGATGCAATTGCACTGACTTCAACGCGTGAGGCGGCCCCCGTTCCAGCTCCCCCCCTCCGACAAGCGGCGTCCATGCCGCCTTCACTGCGCCAAGCGTTACGACGCGCCGCGACGTTTGTAGCATCGCCGCTGTTTACCGCATCAGTTGCCCTTGACAACCCGTCGCGGTACTCCACGAGTACGTAGTTCCCTGTAGTTCCCTGTAGCTCCCTATAGTTCCCTATGGTTCCCAACAGTTCCATGAGGTTTCATGTAGTTCCATTTAGTTACATGGGATGTTGTATTCAACGTAATGAGACCAAAAAAGTTTGGTTACAAAGTTGCTGAAAAAGAGGCTTTGAAAGTGTATAGTTCAACCACATGGTTGATAATTTTTTGGACGAAACCACCATCTCTTGAGAAAGAACCCAAATAATAACTAAAATATTCGAGAATAAAGGGAATTGTGTTTTAGGGTTTTGGAAAAAGAAAATGGTGGGTGGCATGAGAAGTCAATAATTTTGAACTTGACCCTTGTTAAAGAGATGGGATGGAGCTTGCATAGTAGACTTGATAGAGCGTTAGTTTTTGAAAGTCCCCTTCTTCTTTTTTTCTTTCTTTATTTATTTTATCATGGTGGCTATCTCTTATAAAATATATTTTTACATGCTTATTATTGAGATACGGTGTGAAAAGGTTACTGTATTTATTACTGTGAAATAATTGACTAAATAAAGGTATTTTTTAACATAATGAATTTTCTTCCTGAAGTAATAAATGAATGCCCATTTGATAAATAAAATTCTTTGTTTTTAAAAGAGTATTCTAGCATATATATATATATATATATATATATATCACAATGTGCCAGAAATTAATAGGAATTGGAAACTACTTGTGTTTGTTTCGGGATGACTTGTGAGACCCACCATAAGATCATTGCATGGCAAAAAAGCAAAAGACAATAAGAGAAAGGAGACAAAAAGGAATAAGACAAATTAATATCACATGTACTTGCCCTTCTTGGTCGGTCTATTTATAAGTTTTTTCAACCTCAGTCAAACAAGTTTTAAAGGGCGAGGGACGAATGAAATTCTTCTGCATTCTTGTCAGATAAATAATGCAAATAACATTCATTGTGAAAAATGACAACAATCGAAGAGGAAAAGAATGTTCCTCTTCAATTTGGTTGAATTCGGATGATTGCAAGCGAATCTTCATTTGTAGAGTAGGATTCAATAATTTAAGTTGAATCATGGGTTTGAATTATGAGTGAAAAGAAGTTACATAGGTTTAGAACATTGATCTAAGATTTTAAAATAAAAATAAAAATAAAAATAAAAAATTTGTTAGTGTATTTCGTTGCATTTTCAAAAAACGTTTTATGTTATAGAATAAAATATATGTATATATATATATATATATATATATATATATGAAAAGTAGTATCCTCCTAAATCAACAGTGTAATCAAATTTAATTGAACTGTGCATGAGGTGTGTGAACTAATCTGCGCTTTTGCATTGAATGTGGTGATTGGGAAATAGAGTCCTCAAGGAAATTATGTTTCAAGATAGCTTGAAAGTTTCCATGTATGTTATATCGTAGCATAATTCGATATCATTCAAACAATAAAAATTAAAAATTAAAAAAAAATTGGAATTTCAAAGTTCTCATTCCTTGGTTATAAAATTTTAAAGTTTCCAAAAGTCACAGGAAACGTTTTTGCCATATACCAAATTTTTAAAACTTGAAAGATTTTCTATTAAACTCGAATAAGTTTTTTGATTAATCTTATTCTGTCACTTCATTTTTCACACTGATCTATGAACACAACTGAAGTATGATGAAGTTGTATTATTACTTTATTTTTCTATATGCATGTTAATGTAATAATCTAATGTTATTTCATTGTTATATATACATTTTTGAATATTAAGTATTTGGTTTTGAGAAATACTTTATAGTTAAATCAAAGCATCTAGTGTAATTTTGGTTGTACTAGATAATGTATCAGAATTTAAGTTTTTTGTTTTTTGAATTGAAAGAATTTATATGTGTAATGCAATATCATTTAATTGTGCCATTATTAATAATATACATATTTCTTCAAAAAGACAGAAAAGTGGTATAATTTCTTTTAACCAATATTTAGATTTGTAATGTGCTACTTACAATATAGAGTAGTAGGCGTATACTTTCTATTTAGAAAGAAAATGAGATTATCTTTTAAATACAATTAAAAGAACAAGTTTTGAGTTTTAAAGGTTTATCAACTAAGTCCAATTTGACATGGTATTCTTCTACAAACACTATCTAATTCAAGTGCATAATCAAAGTTTTAAAACTTTTAGTCACAAGTTTTGTAATATCATTTTTTTATTATAGATTACATATATTTTTAAATCACGAAAATTAATTAATTAATTAATTTTTTTTACATTTCTACTAAACTATCATTTATTTTTTTCATAAAAATATAAACCAAATTACATATTTTTTCTATTATTATTATTATTATTATTATTAAATTAATTTCTAACTACATATGTGTATTGTATTTTTATATAATTTATGGCAATAAAGAAAAACCAAATTAATTGATTTTTTTATTATGATTCAAAATTAGATGTTTATTTTATTTTATTTTTTACGTTCTAATCATATCAATGATTTTTTTATATGAAATGCAATAATAGATTTTAAAGCTCATTTTAAAGATTGTAAAATTTGCAGTATTTTTGGTAGTAATTCAAAGCATATTGTAGAAGATAAACAACATAGAAGTTAATACAAATTAATTAATTCAAATATAAATATTTTTACATATGTGCTGTAATAAAATAATATATATATATCACATGTAAGTATGAAAAAAAATAAATTATCTAGATATTTTTCATTTAATTTTTAATTTTTTATTAATTAAATTATTTTAAATCTATTTTATTCACTTTTTAATAATTTACATTTAATAATATATTTTCTCTTACCCTTCATAATTTGCATAACAACGTAGTATCACTTATTTTATTTTTTGGAGAAAATTAAATCTATTAAAAAAATAACATGTAAAGCCTTTTTTGAACATCATTTTTTCTTGCTCCTAATCTTATGTACTAAATTATTTGACATTTGTGAATAAGCCAAGGTTTAGGATTTAAGCCTACCATTGGATAGACCCACTAGACGAGCATCGAAGTATCGGCTCAATGCACGCGGAGAATGGACAACACTCACCCCACAATTTCCTTTTGCAATTGATCGAATCTACGAGGGTCGATTCTGATTCGATCTGATCAGTTTCGGCGATGCAATTCATGGAAACAAGATCCGGCAAGCTGGAAAAAAAACACACGAAGCAGAGCTGTTGGCGCAGTCATGGTTCAGCAACTGCGAAAGGAACGATCGTGGTGTCGATCAGGTCACACTGACAGAGATCCTCTCGCAGTGTTGCAACATCACGGTGCTGTCGTGGTGAGAGTGAGAGTAAGAGCTGGAGATTGATGCAGAAGGCCTGTCGCCCTGTGTCTCGGGGATTGTGCTCCCAAGCAGTAGACGGGGGCACTGTACCAAAATCTCACACCACGAGATCCTCGTGCTTGCAAAAAAACAGAATTCGACGTGCAGACTGGGAGCTGGGTATGTGTGTTCAGTGCAGCCTTTGTGGAGCCAAAAGAGCAGCCCGGTTCGAGTTTCAGCATCGGCCACAGCAATGGCATGCGTGGTGCATCAGAGTCGACTGATGCACCAACTGATCGGGATCTTCACTGCAGCGCTGCCGCCGCCATTGGACTGGTGAACTTCTCTCTCTCCCTCTCTCTCTCTCTCTCTCTCTCTCTCTCTCTTAGAACATTGCGTATTGCATCGTCGACTTGGTTGAGAGCCTATAATCGATGTTGCTCATGCACTCGTTGCTGCATCCATGACCCTCTTCACATGATTCTTCACTAATTTACTTGCAAAAAAAAGAACATATATATATATATATATATATATATACATATATATACAGCTAAACTCACACATGGATTCATCGGTTTTCTTCGATTTCCGCCGCATGCTTCTGCATATTTGTCATCGAGATTTCACCAGTTTTGGATCTCGCAGCGCTAGCTCGGTGACGACCACCGCCGGACCTGGCAGTCGGTGAAAATGCTAACTGGATCATTTTAATTGGATCATTAGTTCATTTTTGAGTGGGAGGAGTTTGTTTATGCACCGATTTTTCTCAGATAGATAACATGGGGATTTCGTAGTCGAGATACGAACAGGAAATTTATTTGCTGAAACGGGTTGCCATTTTGCAATAGTTTTAAGTCCTTGTAGAGCAATTTGTACGTTCTTTTCAACTTCTAAACCTCTTGATATTTCATTTGATTTGTTTGGGTTTCATCTCCTTAAAATAATTCATGGCTAAAGCACTGAAAATTTGTAACATTATGAAATAGGAATGTGTATGTAGAGAAATTCCAGAATAAAATAAAATAAGGTTTTTAGTTTGTTTAAGCAGTAGGGATAGAAAAATGACAATGGTTTAAAAATATTCACATATTGTGTATTCTGATTTGACGCCTTACTTATCTATTTCAATATATATATATATATTTTAAAAACTATTTTTTAGAAGTTGATATTGGAAAATAAGTGTATACAATAAGTTATACATGCATTTTTAGTATATCTGTGTATGTTTATTTTAATTTCAAATTTAATCTAGTCAAATTATATTTGATAAACATTAAGCTTTGTCACCAACTCAATTTAATCCAACATAACCAGGTTGGCAACTAACTTAATCATTTAATCCAACATAACCATTAAATTTTCAATATTTTGATTTCTGTTATTTTTTGCTTCTCAAAATATCCATTTTTTTTTTTTATTATTTATTTTTTTAAAATTTTTTTGAGCAATAAACTTGATTTATTCACAGTAAATCATTAATACATGAAAAGAAAACATTTCTGAATTTTTGCAAAAACCATTTCATGATTTTAAAAACAAAGGTGTTTGAATAGGCATTGTAATTACCACCATTAGCTATTTTTACACA